CTATAAGAGAAAGGAGAAAATTCAGTTTTATCTTGGGAGTGAAATACTTTTTTTAATGTCAATGTTACTATAGCATCTTCATGAAAAAAAAAAATTATTTTTGTCATCTGCTCTTTTGAAGTCTCCTGCCCTGGTAGGAACAGGTACACTGCTGTTTAATGTCAGTTTTTCTATTTGGGAAAGTGGAAAATCACTGTGTAATTCCACTCTTTTTGTTATTCTCAGGGGCACAAATAGAGAAACTTAAGTTTGAAATTACTTGTGTGTGGCACCTGTAACAGAAATAGGATTCTTCCTCCTTCATCCCTCCTGGCTGAGGTGTGTGTGCTCGGCTGGCTTTTTGTCAATATTCGGTTGTTCATAGCTGGAAAAATTTCAGGCCCTGGAAGCACTGCTGCATTTTATTGATAAAAATGTTTAGGAGAAGGTTCTGTATCTGCCAGACGTTGCACCATTTTTTGGATGTTGTTGCTATCACAGCACACAGGTCTGGGCTGGAGTGCTGTGAGTGTGATGCTGGAATGAGCTGTGTTAAAAGTTTCCTTCCCTGTTTCCTTATCTCTGTTCTGTAGCTGTGAGATAATGAGTCATTAATATGAGGAGCTTTCTTTTTGTCTTTAATATTGTGTCTTTTTGGAACACAGAAAACTAATTTCTGGTCTGCTTACTTAGAAGTACATTTTGCATTTGTAAACAAAACTTGTTCGAGGCTTGATTTATCTTAATTTAACATCCTCTTCTTTTTGAAGTAAATTAAAACAAGCAAAAAAACCCAACCCATCAATGAACTTGTTGTCTTCATGCCTCTGATTGCAGAAGAAACTATTTATGCTCTTGGTGCATCTGCAGTACTTTATGTTAAATGTTTTGGTTCCCCTTTGTTTCAGCACAGACTCATTGATAAGGAATGTCTCCATTGTCCCTTTTAATTGTAGCCAGGTGGAAATCAGGACACCACTTAATAGTCACATTTCAAACCCTATATTTATAATGTAGCCCCACACCTTTTATTTTTTGTCATTTATCATTAAACATTGCCCTGCTGTCTTGTTGGCCAGTTGATTGCAAGGGTTCACCCCTCCCACCAGCACCTTTGGTCTGTAGCTTCAAGTGAGTGTGTTAAAAATGAAGCTGAATTTTTTTAGTATTTATGGTTTAATGCTTTTCATCAGTGGGCTTGAAGTACTTTGTGTAAATAAAATCCCAAAGGATGTGCTGAACTATTTAACAATTACTGTAAGTTAGGATAAGAATTCAACAAGGTTGAGAATTTTCTGGCACTTAAGGGTTTCTAGTCTCTTACATCTTGTTAGTGTCCAGGCTTTTCTTTGTCATATTCTTAAAAATACCCAACAACCCAAAACCCAATAAAAGCCAAAAAGCAGGGGGAATGAAAATCAAGTTATCAAAACTCTGTTTTGGTTTTGAAGCCTCTGCAGCTCTGCTGGCTGGGTCCAGAGGAAGTGACCAAACATTTTATTTAATAATTGAACACAGAGCTGAGTGCTGTGCAGAGCATTGGCTGAACAAAAACTGCAAAATTGTGATGCTAAAATAGCCCTAGTAGCAGAAACAAAACAAAACAGATGCAGAAGGGGACATAAAAATAAGTGGAATGATGGAACCAAATCTGCTGAAGCTCTAGAATAATTCACCTAAGTTTTCATTGATTTGCTTTCTATTTTAAAACTAATTTTTCCTCCTTTAAAAGAACAGGCTTGTCTGGTTTGGAGGGGTTTGGCGCTCTGCAGGAAGCTCGTTGTCAGCTTGCAGAGCTTGTGTTGTGGTGATAGAGATCCTGGTGAATGACAGGGACCAGCTTCTGTATCTTTGGCTGCCACCTGCTCACTTGAAAAGTCATTGAAACCACACAGCTCATCTGGAGCTTTTCTTTTGTTGGCATTACAAAGCTGCCTATCTCGCCTCAAGACCTAGCTGTAGTTAGAAACTGTCTTTTTTTTTTTTTTATTTTATTATTTTCTATGCTCGTGAAATCTGTAGGAATAAGGCAAAACTATTTTAAAGAAGAAAAATAAGAATTTCATTCTGATACTGCTTTTACCATTCTGTTGGATACTGTCCCAAGATTTGCACTCTCATTTTAATAGCATTCCCAGTACGAACTCCATCAAGAAGCTTGGTTTAAGAAAGTTTTGCTGTTTTCTGTTTAGCAAATCCTCTCATGCCTGTATCCATAAGCTGTTTTTCCTTTTTCCTAGATGCCTGCAACTTGATGAAATTGTCATTAGAGCAAAGCGTGGAGTGCTCCTCGAGGTTACATCTGTTCACTGATATTGTGAATAATGGTAGTGAAAAGGCAGCTAAAAAGATGAGTTAAATGTATTTGAAAGCGGTGAATTGAGCAGCCAGGCAGGTACAGCAGAGAGCGGAGTGCCTTGGGGCTGGGAATTGTGTGTCAGTACACTTAGCCAAGTCCTCCTGTGTTTACTGATCGGCTCGGGGTGACACGGCTCAATGGCACCTTTGCTCAAACTGGTTTTAGCTTGAGCGGCTTCTTTTGTATTGCCTCCGTGAAGTTGTTGGTATTTGAAAGCCAAAGCTTATTCTTTGATGCTTTAGATCACAGATAAATAGAAGTCAAAAGGAAAGTTGTGTCTGAGAGCTTCAAACTTCGCTTTTCAGTTGCTTTCTTTATGCCTTCTGCAAAAAGCCTTCGGTGTTGTAATGGGGTAGGAACAGGAGAAAACACCTGCATATTTGGAAATAGTGATTTTAGTCCACTGAGGTCAATCGTTGCTGCAGCCTTATTTATGAGGGCTGACCCTGTGTGAGAGCATTTCAGCTGTACAACTGTGCTGTGGAAGAGGTCTGGAAGCATCAGGAATGAGGTGTGTGTTGAGGAATGTGCAGTACCTGCTTGCACTGAATAGTTTGGCAGTGTGTCACTTTTAGCTGTGATGGAGATCAGCAAATTGCCTTTTAATGTGTAGCAGGCTACTGAAAGCTTTCTTTCCTTTAACCGAGTGCCCAAGTCTTGATTGAAATTCCAGAGGACTTGGATTTTTGACTTGGAAAGGCTTGTTTTCTTGGCACACCTGTTTGCACTGCCCCCGTGTCCTACCAGTTAACAGAGCTACCCCCTCGTGGGAGTGGCAGCCCTAAATTCGGTGGTGTTGACAAAGTGTTAATTGTTTCCTGGCCTGTCTGGAGCATGGCACAAGAGATTTGGTTACATCTGCTTTTACCAGGGACCTGCTCTGGCGTTTTGTGGCTTGAAAAGTAACAAAAACTGGTTCCACAGCAAGCATGAGGATCTGTTTCCTTGCTCCTGCGGATTTTTTTTTCTGTGAATTTAAGAATGGTAGTTGTCCCATAACTTCTGTGCAAATGCAAATCAGCCACAGTTCTAAAGGACCTTGTTGCAATCAAGTACTTCCCTCAGTCCTTCAGGGTGCAGAAAGTTTTTTGAAACTTTTGGTGAAGTATTTTACTCTTCAGTAACTTACCTCCCCTTACACTTACTCTTTCATTGTTTTAAGACTGAGAAAGAGACACAATAAAGCTTTGGTAATTTTATTTTTTGTGTTATTTCCAGGAGGCAGTCATGAATTCCTTGATGCCTCAAATGCTGCACAACAAATGCAGACATGAAAGCTTCAGGCAAGTGAGGGTGTTGAAGTAAACAGCAGTGTGGTAATTCTTGCAGAAATCTGAAGTCTATTGCAAGTTCTCTCTTGAACATGTGGAGACAGGCTGTTTTCTGCTGTCAGGAATGGGATGTGTCATTTCAGGAATGTAAAGCAAATATTTTAATCCTGATTGTTTGTGCCAATGTTCAGCTGGAGTGGCTGGATCTTGTAGCATTATATGGAACTATTGCCATCCCATGTCCAATACTGATACTGAAAATTAGACAACCAGCAAACACAGCTTTTTGTGAAGTTCACTGTTATGTCCTGTCACTGCTAAACTGTGACATGGATGGATTTTCATGCTGCTTTGAGTTAAAGGAAATATTTTCAATCATATGAGTGTTAGTAGTGTATTGAATATTCCACTTCATTCAGGAGAAATGCTCATGCATGTCAAATGTAAATATGAATTTAGATGGGGTCAAAATTTCTATTCCAAAATCAGATTGAACAGTCTGAAGGATGTATTAATTTTGAAAATCTCATGGTGTGAATTTGAGACATCTAGAGAAGCTGGATTTAGAAAACAGTCAAACTTCTCTTTCATTTTAGATCAACACCAGCTGCATTATCTGATGGATGTTTGCAGTTTCTTATTTATCAGTCAAGCTCCTATAATAAAATAATCCTGTTTGTGAAGTACAGTATCTGTCAGACTGTTATTAAAAGCTCTCTCTGGGCCAGCATCACAATGGAGAACATCGCTGCATGTGAGACTTGTTTCCAGGAGCTTTTGCAAAGATATTGAGGTTCTGTGTCTTGGCAGGATAAGATTGATGTCCTTTTTTCAGATGCTTTCACACAGAATGATGTTGACTTAAAAAGACAAGATAGGGGCTTTCACAGAATTATGAATTTCTAGTATGGTTAAATACACCAGGTATTTTGAATTTATGTCCCTTTAACTGCAAAGTGACCAGATTCCCTTTTAAATGCAGGAGTTTAGAAACTACCACAAGGCACTCAGAGTAAATTGAATTCTCTTCTCTTCTGTGAGAAATGACCTGTTTTACATGAAGGTTTATTCATATGAAACATCTGAGGGTGGCTGGGGCTATCTCTGTCTGCAGCCAGGACAGAAGTAAGCATTCCTGCTGACAGGCAGAGAGCAGGGATCGTTCCCTGGGTCACATAGCAGTGGTGGCAGACTGACTGAAGGAGCAGAGAACCTTGTGAAGCTTCCCAGTGCTGGTTTTGTGCTAAGGATCTTGGACTCTGCCCAGGAGGGAATGTGTTTCTGTGGTTTGCAATGGATGGGGTGCTTGGTGGCATTTGTGGACCACTGTGACAAGTGTCCCTGGACTCACTGCTTTTGCTGCCAGAAACCTCCATCCCCCTCCAGTAAATCAGATTAAACTCCATAAGGGTTTCTCCTCATTAGTGAAAGGCTGAGTCTGTGCATGGAAAATTTGCTCAGCTCAGTCTGTACCTCCCAGTCCTCCTGGTTCCCTTTGGTGTGTCTGACAGTGCCTGCCAAGCTGCACAAATTTCATGGAGACTTGGCCAACCCGGTTAGGCTAAAATACAGAAAGGTATTTTATCTTCAGTTTTATCTGATATTATCCTTTATGTTAGCTCTTCTGTTTCCAGATTTATATTACCAATAGGTGCAAAATTTGTTTAATTATTCTGACTGAGAGTGTAGAAAATTCAGCTCTTGAAAAGTGTGCTCCTATTTTTCTGAAATGAATCCTGGGTAAAAACAAGACAGTAAGTATGAGCAGTAGGAATTTGATGTGTGTTCTTTTTAAGTCTCTAATGACTGCTATCAAAAAGGGCATGTTGTGATGTATGGAGTGGTGGGCTAAGGCAAATGCAATTTTGGCAAGTTCTGAGGTGTGGGAAATCAGTACGAAATGTTGTGATGAAGGATACTGCTTCAGAGGACTGCCTGCCTTCAATAATTCAGGTAGCTGCCACGGAAATGGATTTTAGTTCCTATGTAAATACAATAAATCACAAGTGGTGAGGAGTTTGGGTATGAATTTCTCAAAGCTATGATTTGGTTTAATAACATGGGGAGGAACATAAGGATTGATAAAACAACTTTGTGTTCTTCAGTAGACTCGATTAAGAAATAATGTAGGTTTTTTTCCTTTGTGATTGATGTGCTTCTGTTTTCTCTGTATGAGAAATCAATTTGGATGTCTTTAAGTGTAAGGGTATTAAAATATTTACCCTGTCTTCCTTCCCCCTTTAGTTATGCTCCTTGGTGTCCAGCCTGTCAGCAGATTGAGGCGACCTGGGAGAGCTTTGCCAAGGAGAGTGAGCACCTCGGCATCACTGTTGGAAAAGTGGATGTCACTCAGGAGCCAGGTATGGCACAAAACGAGGTGCTTTAATAGCAGCATTTATTCACTACAGCTACCATTTACTCCTTATTTAGGCTTCAAAGTCAAAATCATGTTATCCACAGTTTGTTTCTCCATACAGTTCATATTTCTGAACTGAACTTTATAAACTCAGTTTGAAGGATTAAAGAATTGGGAGGGTGATCTGGCTTAATACTGACTTAAAAGAGGCTTATTCTCTATTTTAATCTTCACTGGAGGCTGTTGCCTGTCTCATTCCTCCAACCTGTCTGCAGAAGATTCCAGCTCTGTAGCCTCCCGTTAGGAGAATTTGAGGGTGTGGTAGAGTGAGCCTGCTTTAATTAAAGCTGCTAACTGTTTCCAGCATGTTACTGGCTTATTGACTGCTTTAATTGTGGCAGTGCTTTATATTACAGATGTTACTGCTGTTTCCTGTTGGTGATGCACATATGCAAATATGTTTATAAAAACACTTTACTAACTGTTCACAGAAGCATGAGTGCAATCTAATTTATTCCTTTGGTGACTCCCTTCAAAGTTTTGAATGTGTCTTTGTACAAGCAGTATTAATATTGTATAAACCTCTGCATCTTCTGGGGATGCTTTATGCTTGTTTGGGCTCTGAAGGGATAAAGGATTTTTGAGCAGTATCAAAAGACTGAAAGATGAGATGTTGTTAGAAAAAAAAGGCCAAACTTTACTGATTTTTTTTCTTTGTTTTTGCTTTATAAAGTGTGTGAAAAATAAACAGATGAATTTTAATACTACCTTATTTAAATAGATGTAGACTTAGTACTTGAATTTCTTATATTGCTGAGAGTCCTGACCCCTAAGCATGAGTAGCTTCTGAGTCAAAGGACTGACCAGAAGGATGAATTTGTACCAAAGCTCATGTAATAAACCTACAAGATCCAGTTCAGCACTGGAAGCTGAAGGCACTTCCAAAACTAAGGAATGCTCAGACTGGAAAACAAACTTTTATTACGTATTTGACCTTTGGTGCTGATGTAATTTGGAAGATATGAGTTTCTATGGAGCTCTCCAAAGTTACTGAGGTATTTTTACTGTGGGCTTTGCATCAGCCTTTCAGTTGTGTTTAAGTGCTCTGTCTCCCTTTTTTGCTTGCACAATGGTACTTTAATTAGTCTTAGTTATGTAACCCCTTCATTGAATTGAAAGTAGTCAAAATGTGTTAAATTAGGGGAAAACCATGAGATGAGTGCAGAGTTACATAAAATTGCACTTCCCAAACTGGCAGGATAAAGTGGCCATTCATGGTGCCTAATTGCAGGAGATGCCTGAAGAATAAATCCACCAGAGTCTTAATGGCTTCAAAGCAGATTTCAGTCCCTTGATGTTCCAGCCTTAAAGTGCTTCCTCTTGCCTCATCTTTTCCATTGAAACATTCCGTGTGGAGCAAGCAAATAGTGAAGATGCTTCTGGACCCTTAAGTTCTGCATATTTGTGGTGCCTTTTTTAAGCTCCTGATCACAACATGTACTTGTGAATTCCAACAAGTCGTCTTGGATCTTCTGCATCTTCTTTGAGTGGTTGTTGGCTGAAAGCAGCTGGAGTTTTAGATGACATCTCTATTCTCTGTACATTCTCAGGGGTGTGTATATGCAAATGGAAGGGTTTTTGCATTTTTGATTAACTGTTGATTTTCATAGTGCATGTCAGTTTTTGGTATGCAGGCACAGACAGATGCTTAACTATAGCCAATTCAAGATAGTATTAAGCAGGCACCAAAACAATTTAATGTGTTCTTAAATTTTGTAGCTGACTCACATCTAGTTTTACCAATCTAGGGAGGTGCCTTAGGTAACCAGCAGACCTCCACCTAAAATGTTGAGGGTGCTTAGATACATTTCAGAGTTGCTTCTGAGGTGTTCTCTCTAGGATAGGCCACAGGTAAGAGGAGTGAGCTGTTTTATTTCCCTTACCTGAGTGGCATTTTTAAGAACTTCAGAGAGAGCCTTTCAGCGTTCCCATGACTTTCTCTGTTCTTAAGCTAATTATGTTCTTTGTGACTCTCCACCCAGTTTTCCTTGTGCAGCTGTGCTGTCTCTTTATTAATTCTGCTGCCTCACTTGTGGGTTTGTTTGCTTGATATCTCCCTGTGCTGGCACAACTTTTAGCTGTTTCACAAAGTGTTTTATCACCCTGCCTCTTGTAGCAATAAAGGCAGAGAGCTGAAAAGTTGAAGAAGCTTTCCTTTTTAGAACTTTAAAGATAATTTGCTTTAAATGCCTTCAAACAAAATTCCAAACAACAAAAAAACCATAACCCTTTTTTGTCTCTTCCATAGGGGAATTCAAACTGAGGAAAACATTACCACTGAAACTTTTAAAAATACCTGGCTTATTTCAGTATGGCTCCTCTTTGTCTCTAAAGGCAGAAATCCTCTTGCTACAATACTTTTCCGTGGCTAATCCTGTTGCCTAGAGCTGTTTGCTTTATTGAAGGCTGAATAAGGCCTTCATTTCCCAAAAGATTTTCACAGAATTTTATGAAAGGCAAAGTTAAATAACCATGCTCTTTACACTGGTGCTTTATCTGAATTGCAGTTGCTGACTATAGGAATTCATCCCTTTCTAATGGACTCTGAATGAATCTAATACTGGGCTGGTCCAAAACTTCAGCTGGGTGCAAATACTGAGGAGACAGATCCATTGATGAGGGAAATTACCTCTCAGTTCTTCAAGCTAACATGTTTCCTTAATGTATAATTAATATTTAGTATCTGTTACCTTTTGTAGCATATCTGAAGACAAACTGCTAACCTGTATTTACAAAACAATGGTGAAAGCTGTGAGGCCTGCTCTAAAATACAGATTTGTAGGTATTTATAGATAAGTTAGAATGCTGAGAAATTTCAGTTTTACTTAACTGTTTGTGTTGTTTTCTTCCCTTTCTAGGCTTGAGTGGTCGTTTCTTTGTCACAACACTTCCTACAATTTACCAGTAAGTGTGTCATACTGGAAACTGCAGCTGTTGGCTCCTACTTGTCATTTGATTTAATCTGTAACTGAAGAGTAGGGGAAAATGAAGGAATAGTGACTTCTGATTTCAGCTCAAGTTATTGTAGCTTTGATTGTATGATGAAATCCTTATCTGGGGCTTTTCTTTAGTTTTAGTGACTTTACTAATTTCCCTGTTGTCCATACCATTAAAAATGGATCAGAGAAGACATTTGCTGTATCTCTTCACCAGTAAGGTGATGTTGCCCTTAAAATATTGAACCCCTCAGTAAGTCAGGGTATTAAGAGTCATGCAGATACATAAACAAATACATATATATGTGCACTTTTAATTCTGAGCTGTATTTAGAAGTGGTTTGTGTATTTGCTGTAGTGCCAGTGAACATTTAAGAAAAACAGCAGCTTTATAAATGGCAAAACCCCGTGCTGTTTAAAAACTGAGGTTTTCCATCATGGCTTACAGTCCCCAAACACTCAGCTCTGAGCAAGTGAAACCTATCATGTATGTGGGGGTTGTGGTTGGGATTTTTAGCTCAGGGTTTGGGGCTGTCTGTGCTGATGGGAGTTGGTTTTGCAGTGCCAACGATGGAGTGTTCCGCAGATACCGCGGCTCCCGCACCTTGGAAGATCTTCAAGGCTACATCCTAGAGAGGAAATGGGAAGCTGTGGAGCCTGTAGCAGGATGGAAGTCTCCATCTTCTATAATGTAACACTTGGTTTTTGTTAACAAAAAGGATGTTTTATATCTCATTGTTCGTTAAGGGTCCTGTGTTGACAGTTTGAAGACAAAAGGCCTTTATTCCTTAGACTTGTAGGCTTTGCAGAAGCAATCAGTATTGACAGCCTGATTCCCACTTCTCACCTATAAAGGCAGCTTATTTTCTGCATTTGCTTTTGTTTGTGCCTGCTAGGGCTTGTTTATGTCATCTTTGAAAAGATATTAAGAGAAAAAATACAGCCACCGAGCATTATGTAAAGTGGCATTTCCAGTATCTGCTGAGTCCTGGAATCGAGTGTGTGCCGATGTAGATCATGACTTCTGGCTACTGGGCAGCCTTTAGCTTTAAGGATTTCTTATTAATTTCTTTACAAGAGAGACTTTTGTCTCCCTTTGGAATAGCAAACAGTGTAGTGCTTATAGAATATAGAAGAATTTGTTTTTAGAGAGAGGGATTTGCTTAGAAATATTATAAAAAGCTTGCGTGACACAAAGGATGCACCAAAGATGTGAGTGGCCTGCAGTTCATTCTGGCTGAAGCCCTTATATATAAATTCACATCAAAGATCCAGAGAGGGTCCTTGTTTTTCATGTGAGAAGGAAGAAGAGCTGTAGGATATTTAGGAATGGGGAGAGGAGCTACAGGGCTGCTGTGAACCTGTCCTTCCATTTCCTTGTTTTCCAGGATGCATGGCATGGCAGGGCTGTTTCACTTCTCGGGATGGATCAGGGTAAGTAACTGTATAGTGTTTTCCATACTCCCTATTTATGCTTAAATAATAACTGAATATTTTTATTATCCTTTTATGAGAGGAGTCATGTATTGCACAGGAGAAGGGAGGGCAAGGGGTTTTTAGTAATAATTTCTGCATCTGGGGTTCAAACTGGCAACCCCACTTGTATAGGAACATGATGAATTTGGATAATAGAGTGATTATCAGAAGTAAAGGAGAAATGCTTAGCTACACTGAAGTGTGCTTTAAAGTATTAAATTTAAAATATTTCAAGATGCTTTCATTTGGGAACTATCCAAGTTTTTCTATGGCATCTAAATACTGAGAATTTTCAGACCTTTCAGATTCTGGTCAGGAAACATCCTGTCAAAACCTTCAAGAGTCAGTGAGATTGAGAGACTATTTAATTGTGGCAAAATATGTTACTATTGTAACATGTGCTTCAGAAAAGAAATGTACCTTGAGAGCTGCAACAAGTTTGTATCACTTCTCCTAAGCATCAAACTACAATACACAACACAGAACTCTGCTTGATTCTGGTTTTGATTCTTTCACTGGATAGTATTTAATTCTTGTAGCCTTCTGATGTTTCTCTTCCGTGGTTGCTCTGAAATGATGTTGTTTCTCTATAGCCTCCTTCCTAAAAGATGAACTGTCCTGAGAAGAAACCTCTTATTTGCCTTCCACTTTGATGTGTATTTCAGGTGTACATTTCTTCACTCCTCCTGCTCTGCTGTCTTTGCTTATGCTTTAATAAATATCAAAAGATGTCCTGACATTTAAAAAGAAGACTCTGGAATTTTCATATTTAAACTCTTGTAATTGTTGATTGTAGTTTGTTTTGAAAGAGATTTAATGTCATAATTGATTTCCTACCAGCTTGTCTGACTTGATGTGCTGCTTGACTCAACCAGTTGAATTTGTGTGTTTGAAAGAAATCTTAATACTGTATTTGGGTTATTATATTTAAATTTAGAAGTGAAATAATTTTTTATGGTTTGCTTAGAGTATGTGGCTCCTTTTAAGAGCTAAAAAGCTTAAGTAAGAGCTGAATTTTTAGTTACTGAACAGATGCCACATGAGGATGACGGGTGTTGTGATAGTTTTCTGCAAGCTCTGAGGCTCCTCATCCATCCATCTGCATTCAAGGTTGTGTATGGCATCTGTAATGCTGAGTGTCTTAGGGAGAAGGAATTGTGCATCCTCTGCTAATAAAGCTTTTTAATGTGAACAAATTAGTAAAAGCCCCCAAGATTTAATGGTGTCAGAAGGAGAAGACTTCAGTATAAATGCTGTTAAATGCAAGGTCTTAGACAGAAATTTATGTAATGGTGTTGGCAGTAGAAATCCTAAGTGGTTTTAGGTATGAAGTTATTAAGTATCTTTTTCTAATTTCCAGCAAATTCATAACTACCTCACTGGCACTCTTGGAGTTCATGTTTGGGTTTCCTATGCCATCTTCATCTTGGCTACCTTACTGATCGGCCTGCTCCTGGGTTTGGTAAGAAAAACATTATTTTTTTTCTCAGTTAACTAGAACTCATGCTTTGCATAATCTTGTGAAAAAAAAAATCTAACTTTGCTCATAAGATAAACTTATGGTGGTAGATTTTCACCAAATGAGAGCAAGACAAGTTAGTGTAACTAGAAGCAACTGAATGTCATATTTTAAAAGAAACTCCATTTCTTATTCCTTCAGTAAAAAAACCCCCAAACTGAATAAGCTGAAAAAATGTGAAGTTAATATCCCAGCTCTTTGCCAAAAGCTTTTCACTGATTGAAATATTTCTTTCACATGATATCAGCTCTGTCTTTTTCTTTGCACTCTGTCTTTGTTCTTAGTGTGTGACAGTGAGGCACAAATATCTTCCTTGCATTTTTAGTGTCCATGTTCTGCACTGGGCTGGTTAAATAATGAGCACAAAATGCCAAACACACATCTGTAGTGGGGAGCCAGGCATAGAAATGAAGTAACATCCCAAAATACAGGAAATCTTGACCAAGACTTTTTCATAAGTTTTCAGAAAGTAAAAATTCTCAACCATGTTCTGAGCTGTTCTTCAGCAAGCGTCAGTACTGAATAAATTTAGCCAAGTAGGAGGCAGAAAATGGGTAGTAGAAAGCAGGGAATGCTGGTTAGTGCACACTGAGAAAGCACTTTTTTTCCATGTTTTTATTTAGCTCTTATCTCTAAGCAAAATAATATAATTTTGTAAATTTCATTGTGTATATCTTTCTAAAGAGAATGAGTGCAGGGACTTTTGCAATTGCTAACAATTCCCATTTTTATTATTGCTAATAAATGCCTTTTTCCTTTCCACAGATCCTGGTTTTGATTTCAGACTGCCTCTGCCCATCAAAGTCAAAATACAGAGCTGAAACTCCTGGTAAGAACTCTTTAAGAGGGTGAGAAGCTGTAATTTCAAGTGTAAATTTGTAGGAGCAAGGGCAGTCCACTGTTGAGTTCTTAGGTGTGAACCAATAATCCAGGAGCCAAGTAAAATTGGTTTGTAACTCAGTAGAATAGATGAGAGTCTATCTGTGCAAGGAAAATAAATGGACGTGGAGGAGAAATGTACTGAAAGTTTAATGAAATAACTGAAAAATAAGGAAAAGTTTTCAATCGCAGAACCACAGAATAGTTTAAGGATCATCTGGTTCCAATCCCAGCTGGAATAATAATCCTAATCAGTTATAATGTTGATCAATATTTCAGAGTATGTCCGTGGTGGTGCCAATTGGCAAGGCTTTGTAGTGAGATTCAGTCTAACTGCAGTGTGTGCTTTGTTTAGAAGAAGCCATCAGCAAGGAGAACGCGGAGAACGCGGCGCTGGAGGAGCCGCAGGACGCTGCGGAGCTTTCCGCCGACGATGCGGAAGAGGCCGCAGATGACAAAGATCCCTCAGACGGAGAAGATGCAGCAAATTCGAGTGCTGAAGAGTCAGAGGAGGATTTAGCACTTGGAAAAGAATCAGGGGAAGAAGAAATGGAAGACTTAAGCGAGCAGCCTTTAGCTGAACCAGAGACTGAAAGCACAGTGAGGCAGCGGAGAAGTCAGGAGGCTGAGAAGGAACTATAGCTTTCCCACTGGTGTACCTGCTACACTTGGACCAAAGAAGTGTCAGACCCCTTGGGGGTCTGAAGCTGGAGCTTACACTTGATTTGTCGTTGGTGTTTACGCAAAGCTCTGCTCTGCCAGCAGGCTCCTCTTTTTTTAAGCTTAGTTCTTGCTTACTTTCTTTGATAAGCACATTTGCTGTGTGTTGTGTGACCTTAGCCGTGACAATCAGAATCAGTGTCTTATCTGTTCCATGTCCTCTCAGAGAAAAAGGGGGTGTCAGCCTCAGTTCACCAGCTCTGAAATGATCATTGTGTGTGTCACCCTAAGGACTGACCTGGGCAAGATCAGGACTTTTAACTCCATGGTAGCTTGGCAGGACTGTGACTTTTCTGTCTGAATGTTGATTGTTCCCAAATGCCACAGAAGCACAGAGATGATTCACTAGTGAAAGGAGGCACCTTACTGGTCTTCTATCAAAAATGTTGTTTACCATGGGTTTGTTTTTATCACTTGCAACCGAAGCACCTTTCTCTTCCATTTCTATTCGTTTTTGTTTTGGAAGTTGATTCTGCAGCTCACCCCCAGATGTGTCAGTTTTTAGTGATCCAGAGGTTGTGCAGCTTGAGTTGTTTCACCCGAGGGGTTAGAGTAATTTAAAATGTTAGGCAGAAAGAGACTTGCAGCTAAATATTTAAAATGTGTTAGGACCTTTAACAGGTTTAAAGGAAATTATTTTTGTCGGGGGAAATTTTGCCCAAGCACAACTACTTTTTTTTTTGCTTCTTTTGGTAATTTGTTCCCATCAACAAATTGGAGAGATTGGAGCAGGAAAATACTCCCTTTGGAGGCAGTAAGTTGCACCTTTCTTGCCAGTGCAAGTTTGTCATGTGCAGTGCAATCCTGCCATTTCCAACTCGGAAAACTCTGCTTTTGGCAGAACTCAAGCTGCTTTAGTGATGTTATCTGAAGAGGCACTTAAGGTTTTTTTACTTTTGATCACTTTTCTACTTCTGGATTCATCATGTTGGGAAAAGAGAGGGGGCACAGGTGGGTAGTGGTGAGGAGCTTTGGGTTTTGCTGCTTCTGTCAGAATAAACGTGCGTGTGTAGAACTGCATCAAGTGAAAATGGCTCGTCAGGTAGACAGCATTAGATGTGGTTAGACTTGGGTCATTAAACATATCAGTGTATCACTCCTTTGGGTTAATATAGAAGTCTTTTTTGGTAAGGAGCACCCACAGTGAGATCCTGTATGTTCCTGCTTTGTTGATGTATGACCATGAGCATAAGATGTGTCCTAATCTTGATATTATTTTAATATATATATTGCATAAACCTTGCTAACATGCACGGATTTCATCTTGTTCTTCAAGAACAAAAACTAGTCACAGATGACATCATCTCTCATTAGAAGAGAAGTTGCAAGTGCAAAATGCTGGTTTCCTTTGAGACTGAGATTTATAGGGCCAATTTGTGTTGAAAGCTGTTTTGTTGTTGTTTTTTAATGCTCATGAAGAAGATATTTTCCAAGAAAGCTCAACTTACCCATTTCTGTCCTGTCACATATGTTTTTGATCTATATGATAGAAACTTTCATTTGTCTAGTAGAGCTGTTCAAAGAAGAAAATTACACTGCATATCCTGAATTTGTAATTTCTTGAAGAATACTCCCAGTCTGGAGTTTTAGAGGTGGCCACTGTATGAAACTCAATGTGCTTTCACAAAGGTGAAAACGTAGACTTGATAATATCTATCCATTGCACTATCTTGAGAACAGTTTGTGATGTTTAGGTGTTGTCCTGTGTAACTGAGCAGTTGTAAAGCTGGCAGCCACAGAATTCAGCAGCAGGTGAGGCACACAGCAGCCTTTTAAAAGCTACACTTTTTCTGCAAAAATTAAGAAAACTTTGTGGCCACTACAGTGTGAAGAGAAGAACTGTGCACTTCGAAGACAAAAAGGTGTTCCTGCAAGAGTTGGGTTTCTCTGTGGTGTGTTTGGATTTCACAGGAAACAAAGAAACCCCCAAATGGCACTTTGTCCTAAAAGGCCCATGGTTTGTGAGATGCTGTGGGAGAGATCAGAAGCCCCTTTGTGTGGGTTGCCTGAATTCTCTGCTCACATTTCCTCTGCTGTTGCATGTCACAGTTGGGTTTGGATTATTTAAACCAAAGAAATGTTTTCCATCATGATAGACTGAAGTGTGAGATCACTGATGAGCACAGATGAAATAAGCAGGCAGCAGGTGACAGCAGCTTAGATCTGTCTTGTGGATCTAGAAATGAGCTTGCTCAGGCTTCTAAGGGTTCTTGAACATAGGATGGATGTTGTTCCTGTGTTTTCATGAATAAAGTAGGGAATATTAATGCAGACTGGGTTTGACCATGTTTGACATGTATTGGTGTATCTTATTACAAAGATCACTGAATGTGATTAAGGCTTTGCTTAGAAAAAAGTGATACTGTGCAGCCATTGATCTCTCCAACTTAATTTTACATTTGTAGGAAAATTACTGTGATGTGATACTGGAGATACTCAATTTGGACTGATGTTTGTCTGGGAAACAGCGAGCAGCAAACACTATAAAAGCTAAATTTGTGTTTAACAGAAAATCTAATAGCTGTGCAGTAGAAGTGTCACATTAATATACCTTCCAGGATCAGGTTTTTTTCCACTAAAACACATTTTAATTGAATCATGTGAGTTGTGCTAATTAGACTATTACAATAGTTCTAAACTTGGTGTGTTTCCAAAAAGTCAAGATCAACCTTTTGTGCAATCTGGGTGTTCTGTTATCTCTGTTCTGTTCGGATTAATCATGAAGAAATGGAACTTGTTCTTGCCACCTCACTATAGACAAAAGGGCCTTGGAGAAGCTGCTGCTGGCACTGTTCAAAATGTTTTGATGAAGGACGGGGCCTTAAGGCTTGTGAACTAGAGCTGTGCGTCAAAATTAATTTAAGGTTGTTGAGAAGAAATTTAAATATCAATTGGGCTGCGTGCCACTGGAATGGGAATGCTTAACAGCAAGTCACAGGAAAAAAATCTGTCAGGTTCCTTTTTCAAGAGGCTGGCAATCCATGCAGCGTTCCAAACCTCCTGTCCTTGGGATCTGTGTGAAACTTTTATGTGTGTGCTCTGTATCTACTGCCCCCATGGGGGTGGCACGTGTTACATGGGTTTTCTTCCTGGAAATGTTACACAGGGTTGTCTGTTACATGAAAGTGTTGCAAATTTATACTTAGGCGTATTTTTACTGAAATGCCACATAAAATTTTGTATTTATGACCTGCTTGGAGTCCTTTTCATTTCCTCTGTGCAGAGTTGGCTCATCTGTGTCATTAAAAAAAGGGTTTTTTTTGTGATGCTGATATTCCAGTTAATCGTAGAGGTTGTGACTTGTGAAGAGTCCTTAAAATCTTTAAAAGGAACCTGGACATCAGTGAATTGCTTCCTTTTGGAGGGTTTCCCTGGAGGAACCCAGGGCTCTCAAAGGTTCAGAATGGAGTTGGGCAGAACAAAACTGAACCCTTAAAGGCTTCACCTCCACGTTAGGTACTTCTTTCCCCTCCCTGAGAAATCCCCTAATTCTGCCAAAGCTGTGCCGACTCCCTCTGGGATTTGGAGGCCAGCAAGAAATGTCCAGACCTAAATGAGGCATCCTCAGGTTGTGGTTCACATTCCAGGCAGTGCTGCAGGAATAGGCTGTAGGGGCAGCTGTGCCAGAGGGACAAGGGACTGCCAGGAGCCGTCCTTGTGACCTTCTTGGATGCTGTGAGCAGCTGCTGGATCTGGCACCTGGATTCATTGTGCTCAGGTGAGTTACCTGAGCTGCCTGTCCCTGTGAACAGCTGCAGGGCCTGGGCCATTTGCCACTCACTTTGCTTTTCTTCTTTTCCACTGTGCTCATTGCTGCATGCAAAGTGGAAGTTGGAACCGTATCAGATGAGGCTTTGTGAGCATTTTGTTTGCTGTTTCATCAGCTGCTGCTTGTTCTCTTTTGTGATATGAGAACATGAAATTTTCTCCGTGAAAACAGCACGTGGAGTACTACAGGCAAAATCGGATCAGCTTTTGATCAGGCTCAAGCAATCAGACAAATCCAAGCTCTAGTTTTGCAGAGGAAATATTGAAGATACTCTCCAGTGGCTGAACTAAAGTGGAAGAAAAGCTTGATTTTTCCATCTGGAACTGGACCAGTGGTAAGTCCCAGCTCTGGGAATGCAGCTGCCCAGTAGTGTGTGCTGTCATTCCCTTCACTACTGGGGAGTTCATTGTGTTTTACCCCAGTGAGCACTGTGGTGGTTACTTATTTTTAACCAAATATCTTCATTCCTCTCCCATTAGAAAAACACCTAAAACTCTGCTTTTACTTTCTCTTCATCTTTCCTCAGGAGAAAGGAAAGCTCCTTATTTAAACATACAGGGAACAAATGGGGATTTAGTTATCCTAATATTTTCATTTAAATTTCCATTTTATATGGAAAGGTTGTTTTTTATGGCTCATTAGAGTTACTTGGAGCCTGCTGCTACATCAGACTTTTACATCTGTTAGTCTGGGTTCCAGGGGAGTGTGGGAGCTGAACTTGCACACCACGGATTTTCCTGGCACAGGCTGGGCCAGTGCCTCACATGCTTGCAGAGGATGCAGAAAGGACAGTGGCCATTCCAAGTGTCAGTCACACATCAGGAAATTAAAAGATGACCCTCGATAAAGGCACTTTTTATGTCTTGTTGCTGTGGTTGCAGGACAAGAGTAACACAGATCTTGGTAAATCTGCCCTGGATTGGTTTCATTGTACTCGGAACCATGCAGCTCCTCCCAGGAGAATCAGTCCTCTGCTCAATGCTCCACTCTTCTGCCATCCCAGCAGTCTCCAGACTTCCCAAAATAGACATCCAGGGGCCTGTTCCAGCCACTTGCTCACTGCTGAATGGCCAAAGAGCTGTCCTCATCCCTGCAGCATCCATCAGCTTTGACTCCCACAGTGGAGTTGCCAGATGGCTGCTGGGGTAAGAACTCCACAAATATTTTCTATTGGTTCTTCTGGCTGGCTTGGAGGGGACAAAATGAATTGGTTCAGTTTTGACTGGTGTGAGATGATGTCCAAAAACACTCTAGAAAATGGGTATTTTATGACTTTATTTGGAGAAATCGTTTATGGAGAATTTGGAAGCCAAAATAACTGTTTTACTTATGTAAGGTACTTGATAAAACAGCTTTGCACAACAGTCATGAGAAATGGGCAGTGGTTTGAACATTAAAATATTTGAATTCTATGTTGCAGTTAACTTCTCCAGTTAATCTTCACTGCAGTTAACCGAAGGGAGAAAGTCCCAGCTGGGTCATCTTTCCCCTGCAGAGGTTTTCATGTGCTGACAGGAGACTGTGGATGTCTGTCTGATCGTGCAGAAGGACACAGGCTGGAATGCTGTGCAAAGTCTCCCTTTATAGCAAGTAACAGACATCAGGACAAGCATGTTGTGGGGTTTTTTTCTGCAGTCTTTTTGCCTTTTGCAAGTAGCTCTTTCTAGGCCACGAGTTCTCTCTGTTCAATAACCCTCTGTGGGGCTTTTCATCCGGAATTTGTGATTGACCTTTTTGAACCACAGTGAAAATTTTCTTTTGCAGAGCCTGGTTCAGCTGAGCTCCAGGTATGACCTCATTGTGTTTGTAGATCCTGCAAAAGGAGCAAGGGAGAAGCAGGAGATGTGGGAGGGGACTCTGGGTTTTTTGACATCGACTGTGGCAGTGAGGTTTGTGTGGTTGCTCGGGCCAACTCTTTGCTGTTCAGTCAGGATGCAGTTCCTTGGCTCCAGGGTTAAAGGCCAGACAGCCAATGCCTCATTAGTCAGCCAGAGGAAATCTCATCCGGAGAGATTCATTAAAATGAGGAGCCAATTACTTGGAGGGAAGCTCTGTGTGTTGGTATCAGATGTGCTGGGGAGACCTGGCATTAAATTTCACCTTTTCCTTAGTTTTTCTTCCCTTGTGCTGATACTGACACCTTCCACCTCATCCAAGCTCAGCAACTGGCCAGCATGGCAAGTGGTGGATCCTGCTGGAGTCTCCAGTTCCAGCTGAACCCCTGAGCTCTGTGGAGCTTCCCAAGGTGATTTGGCTGGAGTGCAGCAGGAATTCAGTGGTCCCAGAGGGGCTTTGGGGTGTGACTGGCACATGTGGGAGGATCCATGAAGGGTGGCACCTGAGAAACTGCACAACGGAAGAGGGAAGAGGAACTTTGAGCCTGAGTGACAAATAATGGCAATTAAAGCAATCACCAATATCCTGTGAATGTGGCAGAGAAGCATCTAAGTGGAAAAAGAAATATCAAGGTGGGAAGAGTTTTGAAGAATACAGACATTTATAGAATGGGGAGAGGGCAACAGTGGTGCAACGCTATTGCTGCCTCCAGAAATTTTTGCAACTTCCCAACATAAAAACCTTTTGAGTTCATTAAGGTTGAGTTCAGCTGCACATATTAAAATGTTCAGCTATCATGCAGCACTTTCTGTCTCATGCTCCAGGATAAATACCTGTTTTTAGCACAGATGATGCAAACTTTAAATAAATGCAAGCAGACGTGTCCTCAGTTTTTTTGCTGCAAGCACAGTGAAATGCCAAGGTTAAAGCAGTTTGCATTTGAGTTGTTTCTGACACTGATGTGTTACAAATGCCTTGTGGTGTAATTCTGTGTAAATTGATATTAATGTGCAGTCTGCAGCTGAAAAAATGTATTATATACACATGATACACTCTTAATTTCCCTGTTAAGCAATTAGTGTAAACCTGTTGCAAACTCTGCATATTTTTTAAAATTGAAACCAAGGAGAAATCTAGAAATGTTAACCAAGACTTTACACTTTGCATGAGGATTGTCTCTTTGATAAGATGCTTTTATTTCCAGCTGGTGAATGCATCTGACCCCTTAACATTTTAAGAATAACGAGAGCTCTCTGGGTTGTGGAGATGAAATTACCTGAAAATCAGGAGCCCTGTACCCAAGGATGTCTGGCAGCTGGGTCTCTGAAGCTGCCCTTGGTACCCAGGATTCTAATGGAAATAACTGCAATCTCACCTGTGTTAGGTGTTACCCTAAGGATGCAGGCTGGGACCTGCTTTTAGAAATAATCTAAATCAAGATTTTGCTTTTTGGGTGTGAGCAAACTTTGTGCTTTCAGTCTCCTGGATATTTTGGATGACAGAGGGGAAGGTACCTTCCTGCTATTGGAGGTTTAACTACATATTTCTTCCCTTGCTTACTAATTTTTTTCTTGTTTTACCATATTTTATTCTGTTATATTCTAGGTTGGCCTTTAACATAAGAACTAAAAGATGGTGCTGAAGTCCAATATGACACAAGAAGTCGGTGTATTTATTTTTCTAGGGGGAGAAATGTAGATAAATTGAATCCTGATGAGGTACCATATTAATGATTTACAGGCAAAACTCCAGAGTTTAAAAGAGTGGAAGTGGGAATAAATTAACCCAGTGAGAGCTGCAAACATGTCTGGCAAGCCAGTGTGCATTGCAGATTTTGAAGAGTATGCTAAAACCTTTCTGCCCAAATCCGTGTACGATTATTACTGCTCTGGGGCCGATGACCAGGAAACACTGGCAGATAATGTAGCAGCATTTTCCAGGTAGGAGGATGATTGAAGGCTGGGGTGGGAGGAAGGGGGTGTAAGTTCTGCTTTATTGGTAGATGTGGTGCAATTTTAGATTTTTCTCTGTGAACAAAACTCAGATTTTCTGCAACTTCTTTCTATTTTAGCAAAAAGACTCTCGAACTGATTTTCAAGACAACTCTCTCTCCCCTTTCACTCCTCCACCTAACGTTTTCTGTCAGAAAGCAGTCCCTAAAATCCATTAGCACCTTTTTAGCTTTGCTGCATTTGGGTTCTTTTGTTAACAGAAATTCTCTCCAGAGTCCTTCAGCTCCAATATTTAATCAGCTAGTGAAAGTGAAATTTCTACATTTCAGGTTACAGTGCCAGCAAGAGGTTCTTGGGGTGAGGTTGTACTTTTTAGGTCCTTAGTCAGTTTTACCTTTTCCTTAGCTCTCCTAAACTGAGTTAGGTCTGTGGCCTTTCCAGGTGAGAGCTGCAGGGCCCTGCAGGAAGGAGTTGCATTTCCCAGCTCTGGGGTGAACTGGAAAAGGCAGGGCTCAGTCCTGGGTGGCCCAGCTGTGCTCAGGGGTTTCCAGCAGGAGGTCAGCCCTTCACCAGGAGATACTGTAAATGCTGGGAACTATTCTAAACCAGTTTTGACTTGGACTGTTTGACAACCTGAACCGTTGTCAAAACCCGGGCTCAGGTCACCCTTAGCCTCAGAAGGACAAGGTCAGCACGAAGTCAGTGGGCACTTGCTGTGGGATTCAGTGGAAGTGTCACAATTGGCATCACATCAGTTGATTCCCTACTCCCAAATGTCCCTGAGGCAGGGCAGAGGGAAGGAGGCAGCTGGAGGCTGCTCCCCTCAGCCCAGCTGAGCCCAGCCAAGCTGCTCCAACAGCTGCTGACATCTCCTTCCTTCAGGGGCTGCGTTGGTGCAGACATTTAACCCCTGCACTTGTCCTTGCAAAGGCTTTGTTTTTAGTTCGTCTGAGTCTAACAAACCAAACCATGATTTTCCTGTTTTATCCTTAGTCTTTCTCCCTCCCTGCTTTGCTTTTCTGCAGTCAGAAATGGGCCCAGAACCTTAACTTTAAGGACACACGTAGAAAGCTTTATAATGTCAAGAGAAGACATCTCACCTCCATTGCTTATTCCAGACCTCCTAGCTCCATGCAGAAGCTGATATCACAGAAATTTCCCTGCTCAAACACAGGCCAGAAGATTGCCCTGAGGAGTGAATAGGAGCAGGAGAGGATGGAGTAGCACTCACCTGATTTTTTTTTTTTTATTGTACCTTTTTTAATGCTTCCAGATGCTCTGATGCTACTTGCCCTCATAAAACCAAAATGAGACATTAAGGAAAGGACACTCCAAGGAAGTACTTGCAGGCAATAAACTGCAGGAGCAGTGAAGGTTTTACTTGTAGCTACTGAAAGTAATCGTGATGAGGTGGGATCTAAAGCTGCCAGAGACATTCTAACAAAGAGCTGGGCAAGTTCCTTGCTGTGCTGGCATCAGCAGAGCTGGATGTTGGCAGGGAGATAAGGGCAGCTCTGCTCTGAAGCTGTTTCCCACCACAGGGATGGATTCCTCTGATAAGAGACCTCCTTACATTGGGCTGGTTGCCTGTGGGGTTCAGGCTTACCTCATATTTCCTGAATCTTCTATTAGATTTTGAATAAAACTCTCCAGTTTTAGGGGTTCAAAACTGTGGTGTTCGCAGGCAGCCTGGGACTGAAGGAGATTTTCATTAGCAGTGCCTTGAACGACCTGAGATGTTAAAAGAAATCAATATTTGGTGTGGCTGAAAGTCTCTCAATGCTGGATCCCTGCCTCAGCAGTGTGGGGATGGCTGAAGGGGCTGGGAGGTGTTTCTGTCTTTGCTCTCCCTCCCTTTATATTTATCTGAAGTAAAACAAGAGCCCATTTTCTCAGCACGTGGAATTCTGCCATTAACAGTCCTTAGACTATCTGGGAAAGGCACTTTAATTTTTTGGTTTATAAGAACCTATTTAATACAAGGGACTTTGCAAAACAATTCTTTTTCCCTTGGATGCTGTTGGGAGAAGCATGGCCCAGCTGTTACAGATGGAGAAATGCTGCTCACTCTGACCCTCACACAGTCCTGGTGTTTCTGCCTGTTCCTGACTACAGCTTGTGGGTAAATAGAAAGTCAGATGGACTTTACACCCCCGAGGCACAAAGATAACCAAGTCAGATAATTTGGTGACAGATAGAAGTAAATTCAGTTTTGTTTCCCATTTATTTCCCCTGTCAGAAGCTTAGTTGCAGGGTTTAGTCTGATTGTAAAAGTTTGCAGTTTATTAAATACAAGTATTTATAATTTTAAGTGGAAGAGAAAGCACAAAACTGAGCCAGAAGCACAAATTCTTAGTCTGTACCTTTATGGTGCAGGATTATTCAGGTGAGGTGTGAGGGTGGAAAACCAGTGCTGGGTTCATCTGTGAGTTCTTTATTATTTTTTTGGCAAACAAATGGTTTCCTTTCTGGAAAAATAAATAGATGATCTTAAGGACTAATATTACTGTTATTAGGGTTAGTTCTTAATGGATGATTGTGTTGCTGGATCCTGCAGTATCTTGGGAACACTCCATGCAATTTTTGGAGCAGCACATTTTATACTCATTGGATTATAAAATGAACGCCTTGACCTTTTCACCTTCAGGTACTTTGTGTAATCAAGTACCAGAGTAAAAACTGCAGCCACAAGGACAGTGTTTAAAGAGGAGTTTAACACCAGGTGCTGCAACTCTCCCCCAGCTCCCAGTTCTGGGATGTTGACATCAGTGTGCTCCTGCTGAGGCCAGAGAAGTATTTCTTATTCATAGTTCTCAAATGGCCCTGGCAGAAGTGAGGCATTAAGGCCAGGAAAGATGATTTGGGATGGCAGAGCATATGTCACTCCCTGTGTCTGCCTGCCTTCACCTTGGCTTTGCTCTGCATCCCAGAATGCCGAATGTCATCGCAGCCCTGTCTGCAGCTGGAATCCTCTCTCGAGTTGTCACAGGGGCCTGAATGGAGAAGAGATTTTTGTGACAAGGTCGGGATGCCCTTAGCTCGATGGCATTCGGGACATCAGTCTGGAGTCTCCTTTAGTTCGATGGCATTCGGGATATCAGTCTGGAGTCTCCTTTAGCTCGATGCCATTCGGGACATCAGTCTGGAGTGTCCCCTCTCAGCATGGCATACCAGGGAAGGGGGGGACATGGGTGTGTGGAGGCTCCTGCTAAACCACCCCGCCATGGAATTCCCAGAGGCTTTGGGAGAAACTGCCTTGTTCTGTCGTGTGCAAGAAACAGCAGCTGCTGCTTCAGCAGTGCCAGCATCACTGCAGGCTTGCTGCAAACGTGGTGTTACCTTCTAGCAATTAAAGACATGAAAATGGCCACAGAGGTAATTTAAGCATTGGTTTAAAAAGCAAGGCTTAGAGTGGGACTGGGTCAGACAAGTCTGGCAAGTTTAGAGGGAGAAAAGGAAAGGAATGCTTGGAAGAATAATTTAATTATGTTGTTGTGATGTGTTTCACCTCAGATTCCCAGTGCACCGTCCAGTACAAGACATGCTGGAAGATAATTTTCCCCAAGGAAAAGCCTGGCACAGCACCAGCCCCTGCTCCTTCTGAAGGGAAGTGGAACTGCAGGAGAGAGAAGGGCAGCAAACTGGGGTGGTTCTAGGCTTGGCCTGAGCAGTGTGTCTTTTCCCAAATGTGCTTTTTGCCCTGCAGCATGAGGGGATTTGAGAAAACTCAGGCGAGGAACAGCTTGAAAATATGGTGCAATTTGAAAATTTCCATGTTTTTCCCAGCTGAAAGCAGCCAGTGTTTCCCTCTTACCCTACTGCAAGGTAATTTACAATCAGAAATTTTTTTGAGCATGGAGAAAAAAAGGAAAAAAACCTAAAAGATTAATCCCTCTTCCTTCCCTTTAATCCTTCCTTCAAAACAGCTTTTAGCTGAAGTTGCCTAAATCGGGAGTGCTCGCTGCCTTCCCCACTGCGGCATCTCCTGCTTCCAGCTGGGAAGAAGGATGCATTCACTCTGTTGCTGATTGCAGCACACGAGTGTGGACTTGACTAGAAAAAGATGTGGGTGATGAGGAGATGATGAATTAAAAAAAAAAAATTCCAAGTTTTATTTTTTTTCCAAAATATGCAGGAAATCTTTCACTGAAAGAGTTGGAGGAAGCAGGTGCTGTGTGGCAGCCAAATGAATGTGTGCCCTGGTGGCTGGGAAATGCTGCCTATGAGGTTTCCTTGCTGCTGCTAAGGACATCTCCCTGTCCAGACAACACCTGGTTTCAAGTATTTGACAAACTTGGAGCTGGAAACACCCGGGTTTCCAAAGCAAGATCAGGTTTTATTAAAGGATGATGATACTCAGGGAGTGAACCTGTTTGGTGTTTTTGTGGGACCAGTGAGTTCTGGGTCAGGAGCACTGTCTGGATGCTGATTGAGAGGATGTGACCTGATAAGGGATCTCTGCTTGGGACTGCACCATTGTTCTTGCATACACTGCTGGGAGGATTTTGGCACCACAGGGATGTTGTACCTCAGGACTGACCCTCACAGGCCGGCTGTGAGATGGCAGTGGCAGGTACCAATGTGACCGGTCAGAGAAACCAGGAGCCTGGGAAAGAGGGAGATGCTTCACATCCTGTATGCTTTTGGGTTTGACTGTATAAGTGAGCAAGTTTACAACGGGATTTTTGTTTTCTTTCTTTGCTGGGAAAAGATACCTCAGAGCAGAGTGGAAGCCTTCAGAATGAGTATTAGGAAAAAAGGGGGAAGAAAGAAGTCATGTTTTCTTTGTCCCACCCTCAGCCCATCCTCCCCTGAAAAATAACAAACTGTTACAATGGCATGAAAACAAGTGTGAGGAGATGTTCCTGCCGTGTGTGTCTTGGCACTGAGCAGCACAGCTGAATTCCACAGCCACACATCTCCTTCCAAGCATCATAAGTGTCCTTCTCCTCCCTGGAGAGCTGGCATGGCCCCAAGCTCCAGGCCTTCAGAAAGGTGGGTCTCATCCTGGCTCTGCCTCAGGCTTTTTGGGAAATGTCTCTTGATCTTTCTATAAACCAGAGATTTTTGTCTTTTATTCCCTGAAATGTCATTTTAATACACAAGCTCAAGCTCACCCCTACTCTCTGGTTTTCTTTCTGTGCTGGTCAGTATAATATTATCAGTCTTGAGGATTCTGGTGCTGAGCAGTTACTCAAGTTCAGCAGTATTAGACCACACATTTTAAATTCTTCTCTGTAATTACAGTTCAGGAGCCATGGGAGCCCTTTCAGAGGGAGGGAGGTCTCAGTGAGAGGTTGGTGCTTGGTTTGGCCTGGCTGAGCTCTCCAGAGGCAGCCCCAGGTATTGCACCCCCTCTTGTGGCTTCTAGTGGCGGCAGTGCTGTGACAACAGCTGGATGATGGGGCAAAGTCCCATGGTATTCCCAGGAATGCAATCCTCCTCATAAAACTTTGGATATTATAGTGTCTAGTTGATCCTGTAATGGCGATTATGATCTTGTGATGCTGTTTTGTGTGTGTGGGGAGGAAAAAGTAAATTTCTGTGTGTGCAGACATGCTGCAGTAAACTGTAATTTCAGGTTAAGTGTGGTTTAGTTTGCTCTCTTTTGGAAAAGGGAGTTCCAAGCACGCAGGCCAGCCTTGTGTTATCCAATAATCCCGTGTCTTTTGGCTCCCTAGTCCATTGAAGGGCTAACAGGGTGGCTGATGACTTTTCCTGTTTGCACACAGCATCTGGCACCCAGTTCTGCCCCAAGGCTTTTCCCAAGGGGGTTGAGACCCACCATGAACCTCATTGTTTTACAGCTCCCGTTTTTCCTTTCAGACAATACCAGGCAATAATGTTCAAGGAATCTTTGCCTCTTTCAGTCTCTGCTCTTTGGTATCTCCTTGCCTGTTCCGTGCAGGGGTTTGTTTTCGATTCTGCCACCATGTACCAGCAGGAAAACCTGCTCTTGCCCATTGGGAACTGTAAATTCCCCCCACGCTGCAGCCGTTTGCAATCCGATTTATCTGTGTGTGTGTGCCAGGTGGAAGCTGTACCCGCGGGTGCTCAGGGACGTGTCGGTGATGGATCTGTCCACCTCAGTCCTGGGGCAGAGGGTCACCATGCCCGTGTGCGTGGCCGCCACCGCGATGCAGCGCATGGCTCACCCGCACGGAGAGACGGCGACCGCCAGAGGTGAGCCCCGCATGTCCCAAGGGCAGCCCGGCTGGGCTCCTTGCTGCTGCTCAGGGTGACCGGCTGGATTGTCACACTTGTTTTTTATCGTTTCATTCGTCTGAGTGTGGTTTCTCTCTCCGTGAAATGAAGGATGCAGAATGGGAATAATTTGTCGCATATAAAATTGAGAACATCTATCTACTTACCTATACATTCTATGTCACTATAAACATTGTCACAGCAACACTCTTCCCATTAGAGAATTGATCTAGAAATTCCGAGGCCTTTGTTTGCCTGGCAAAAATCCTTGCTTTGAAGAGAGCTCTTTGAGAGCACCCCAGGGAGGCAGTGAGATAAGGGATCCTCTGGGCTAGAAGCTGCACAAAGATGTTTGCCAGCACAGAGGATGCAGCTTAAAAGGATATTAACCAGAATTCAGCTGGGGAATTGTCACCTACTCCTTTAACTCGAGTTACAGACTGTGCATTTCAGTGCTCCAGTGCTGAAAGAAAAAGGGTGCAAAACCTAAATAGGTGATATATATATATATTAAAAAAAAAAAAATCCTGTGCATGGCTTGGTTATTAATCTAACAGCATTTCCATGCCCAGTGCAGCAGATACTGGTGTGAAGCGAGTCAAATTCTCAGCCCTGCAGTGGGAGTTGCTGTCAGCTCTCATAACTGCCATGTGCACGGAGGTGGGTTATGGCCATCTTTAAAAAAAACCACACCTCTCCAATTTTACAGCATGTTGGGACTGCCTTTTTCCCCTTCCCAAGAAGTTTTTTATCAGGAAGCCGACGCGGTTGTTGCTGTCTGTAAGTACCAGCGCATTCCACGCGATGGCGCTCCAGCACCTCTGATGGGTTTTTGGGACGGGCTCCTTGGTGCTGTCCCATCCTCTGGCAGTTCCTGTGGATTAGTTCTGGGCCAGGTTGTGCAGGGAGGAAACTCTGAAACATTTAGTGCAAACATATTAACGCAATGGTGAGAGCGAGATTTGAAACACAAAATCCAGGATGTTTCCTAGCAAAAATTCCCACTGCTGCTGCAGCCCGGCCACGTTTTAAGGCATAAATCCACAATGGCATGTGAATTTGAGTGGTACAATAAGGCTGAATACCACATTTTCAAACTTTAACACATGATTATTGCATTTAATGTTCCTGGGTTTTCAAGCTGGGACAGCTTGGTGTACTGGCACCAGTTGGAATGTGTGGTCCAGTAAACTTATCCATTTGAGCTGGTGCATTTTTCATTACTTTCAAAGGAGGGCAGTATTTAAATCACACCCTCTGTCTTGCATTGGCATTTGGGGGAGAAAAAAATGGCTTTAGTTTTGTGCTGTTAGAGGTGGAGCAGGGCACTCAGTGCCAAACTTTTGGTTTGACCTTATGAGATGACAGGAATTAGCTATAAAGTACACATTTGGCTTAAAGGTTCTCTTTAACTTGGGATACTCGGGATCAGGGGTTTTGCCACATCCAACTTCTGTTCCAGAGGTAGCCCAGAGTTTAAGTGAGCAAACTGTTGGTTGCTTTAATTCAGCTTCCCCATCGGTTTGCACAAGCCAAGGAAGTCTGATCCATAGTGCTGTGGCTTCTGCAGAGCCTGGCATGCTCCACAAGCCTGGCTTTTCTTGGCTCAGGTGTGCAGGAAGTGCTCTCTGAGGTGGTGCCTCTGCTGTGACCATGATCCTTGAGAAGCGTGGCCTGAGTCCTGCCCCTTCCCAGCCTGTGCCCTGGCTCTTGCTGGGGGCAGAGCAGCTCCCAAAGGAGCATCCCTGTGTGCCCTGAGTCTGATGGCTGGCCTTGAACCCCAGGAGATAATCCTGGTTCACACCACGCTGCCCTGCAGAGCAGGGTGCTGAGGAGAGCCATGACAGCTCCTTCCCTGAACTCCTGGTGTTTTGAGAAGAATGCTTGAGCAGTTTCCTGTAGCTTAAGCCTCTTGCTTAGAACTGCTCTGCTCTCCTGGCAGGTTTGCCCACGTGTTGTAGGGTAAATGTCCCCTCTAGGGACAAGGGCATGTCATGGTGCCCCTTAGAACTCCCTGCCTTCACAATTTCTTGCTCTGGGGCTTGTCAGGGTTTTGGGGGCTGCTGCTTCCTGAGGGATGCTCTCCTGCAGCAACCAAGCTGGTGGAGAGGAGTGTGCACCTTCCCAGAGCAGGGCAGGGGCTGTCAGCTCGCCTGAAACTCCCCTTCATGGGCAGTTCTTTTGCATGAGTAAAGAATCCCTTCTAGGAAAAACATCCAATTGTCATTTTAAGAGCTGCTGGTGACAGGCCAGCCAACACAATGTAAGTTATTCCAAAGGATAGGTGACCCCACTCTGAGCAGAATAAATTACAATCATTGTCAAACCTTGTACAGACTCAAATCCAGGTGTTTGGTTTACTTGTATTCCTGTTATCTGGACTTTAAAAAAAAAAAAGAAATTAATAAAAAGTCTATGCAGGCTGTAATAAGCTTGCTCCTCAGTTTTCTCTGACATGTCTGAATGTAGCAGGAGTCCTTCCTTACAGAGAAAGCTCTCTTGTCCTTGAAAAAATTTCATGCACCCTGGCAGTTATCCCAGCTTTTCTAGGTCTTCCTTCAAGTATATTCCCTGGCATTTTAGTTGTAGCTCATCAGTGTATGTGGCAATTTTCCAAAGAATGGATTTTCTGTTCAGTAGAAACTGAAAAATTGGGAGGAAAATTGTTTTGGATTAACTGAAATGTTTCATTTGATCCAAAACATAATGTTTTATTTCATTTTCCTACTGGCTAATGCTTTTAGCTATAGTTCTGTTTTGAAACAAAAGTGTCAGCTCAGGATAAAACATTTCCATTTTGAAAAGATCAACACATGACATTTTGACTTAGGTGTTTTTTTCTCATCCTTCCCACTCCAATTTCAACCTCTTTGACTAAAAATATTTGCCAAATTCGATGAATAATCTTAGCCACTAAAGAGCAAAAGGTTGTTCTCTAAACACTTTTCAATAGAACCCTTCTGATTCTATGGGATCTTTTTTTTTCTTGCTTGTCCATCAGCAGATTCACTGTTTCTCCATTCCAAGGCTTTCATTTGCCACACTGACTTCATGCTGTGCTTGCAAACCAACGTGATCCCTGTGTCACCTCGAGTCCACTGACTCAAAATCTTGTGCACCATCCAGCTGCTCAACAAGAAATGGCAGTGTTTTTGCAGCCTTTATTGATTATAAACAGATTTGTCACATTATTTTATTGAGATTTGTGTTTCTATTCCTGCTTATTCCATATTGAACTTACTGGGTAGTGAAAATTCCTGTATTTTCACCCCCACAGCAGCATTGCAGTGCCTGGCTTCTCCATGAATGGCTGAAAATCAGGCTGAGGACCCGACTGTTTTCTTGGGCAGGTCTTTTGAGAACTGTCACAGTTCAACTGAGAACAGTTGCTCAGGGCTGCAGTTTGTGTTTGCCCTCTGCAGCTGCACTCAAACCACTTCTGCAGGCTGCTGCTGACGCAGGCAGGGTTTCACCATCACCTGTGATGTGACTGCACTGTTTGCTTTGCCAAATGGAGAACAGCAATATTGACTGGAAAGCTGTTTTTTTCCCTCTGTTTTAGCTGAGTTTCTGGCAGCTCTCTCATTCCTATTAGAGAGGGAGCAACACCTTTGTTCCTTTGGCTCTTAACAGGCTGCTACTGTGCTTTTTCTGTCTGTGATGCTGAGCACTGAAATTTGGGTTTCTTGTGCCCAGCAGGCATGATTATGACTGGGAAGGAGGGATTTGACCATTTATTACATTTTGTGCTCAGCCACAGTGAAAATAGTGGGACTTTGTAGCCACCTGTTACCTCTGTGGTGATCAAAAGCTGAGGTTAATTTTGAGATACTAAAATTAATGTCAAGCCAGAGTCATGAAGAGGACAATATTTTCATGGGACAACATGGCCTGGGCTGACCTGGCCTGGATTCCCCCCCCAGAGAGTGACAAGGCCAGGGGACTTTGTGCTACAAGTGTGCCCAGGCAGCCTGGCATGCCAGGCACATCCCAGATCCGTTCTGGCCACGTGTCCCTGTCCCTCCAGCCTTCCTGCACAGCTGACAAAACGTGTCCTGTCAACAAGAGGAGGGCAGGCACTGCTCCCACGCAGGGTTTTGTAAGGGCTGAGGGAGGAGAGGCTGACAGGGGTCTCTCAGCCAAGTGTGGTTTGTCAAGAGAGTAACGTGGAGTTCTTTAAACAACTCTGTTTCTCAGGAGCTGCAGCTCCAAGAACACGGCTGCTGCTCCTGAGAAATGCCACTGTGCCACAAGGACATCGTGTTGATCCCAAGGAATGGCCTCTGGCCCTTAGCTTGGCGATTCACTGGTGGATTGAGGGAAAAATGCCTGCAGTGGGGCAGGTTTTGACTGCTACAGGTTTTGACTGCTGGGCTTTGGAAATGCCCCTAAAAGGGAAATGATGGGAATTTGCCCAGCTAGAGGAAAAAAGCGAGTTCCCATTCCCATACAAGGTAACCCTGACAAAATCTGCAGGCTTGAACTGGGCTCCTCTCCAGTGCCCTCCCTGAAGGATTGTTCCTCTGAGCTGCCCACAGGGACAAATTCCATGCCCCATCAGATGGGGGGAGGATGCTCTGAGGCTTCAGGATGTAAAAAGGGCTAAAAAAGGTCACTGCTCTGTTCCCCACTGGAGCTCCCAAGTGCACCCTGTCCCATTTTTTGCTATGTAAAATACTTGAGTTGAGTTCCCCAAGAGCGAATGGTTTCAAACTGCCAGGGGGCAGGTTTGGATTAGAGATGAGGAAGAGATTTTTACCATTCTCTGATTCCATGGACTTCCCCAGCTCCCTGTGTGTGGCTACTGCTGTACTCTCTGTGCTGTCGTGGAGCCCAAGAGGAGCCTGCAGGGTGTACAAGGGTGAATGAGTCCTTTGGGCAATGCTCAGGATTGAAAGAAGACCTGAAAAAAAAAACCAAAAACCAAACATAAAAACCAAACAGCTAAAAGCAATCATGAAATGGCATGAGGAAAGGCTGGTTTACAAAAACATCCCATGCTAAAACTCTGGCAAATGTCACATATTGCAGCAAGAACATCCTGTGGGAATATGGCTGTAGTTGGACTGATTTGAAATAATAAATAATTTGCAGCACCCCAAAAGTGAAGTGTAAAACACGGTTGTTAAAGGAAATTAATTGTTTCTGTTTTCTTCAACTGCAGCTAAATGTGTGAGAAGTGGGAGTGTATTTTTAGAGAAACTTAATTTGAGGTATGAAAAAATCCCCAACCAAACCTGGCAGCACTTCAGGCCTCTGTATCTCATGGTTTTAGAAGTCTAGAAAATTGTCCAAATAAACTTTAAAATTATCAAGGTCAAGCACAGATTGACGAAAACTGGAACTGGGAATTTCTGAAACTTCAAAAACTTTTGTCTGTGAACTTTGGATTTGCCTGAGAGATCTGAACTATGTGTGTTGAGCTGGTGCTTCACCAGAGAGCTGTGAACTTCACAGGAGAGACGAGGGGAATTTTATGAGCATGCTTGCATGAAAATGCCATAACCCCGTTTGGGATGGCTGAACTCTCATTGAACCACACTGCTTAAACCTAATCTTAAATAAGAGAAAAGCACTATTTTCTCTGTTGCTGCATGTGCAGCTAAGTTGAAAGGATATAGTGATATGTATCTGGTGATTTACATCTTCTCTTCACCCAAAATGTTTTACTGTGTAGTTTCTAACTAAATTTTTGCTTTTGCAACCATAGGGCTGGAGAGGTAGACTTGGGAATAAAAGGCAAAAATGGAAATAAATGGATACCTAAAGGCAGATTGAACCATAACATTTACATTTCTCCCTTATCTGATGTGAAGGTTTTGCAATTCCCGGGTTCACAACCCTCCCGTGCATTCCCAATATAGAGGGAACTATGTCCAGTGATTTAAAGGAGAGGAACGGAATGGTTAGGAACTAGAGAGGTTTGGGTGATTGCTGCTGTATTTCCAGTGAGGGAAAACTGGCTGGTGGCCCTGGGAGGGTGTAACCAATTTGTTTGAATAAGCTGTTCATAAGTTTCCACTCCAAGAGGCTTGTAATCCTTATTTAATAAAATGTTGTCATAAAGACCACTTTTTAATTCCTCCATGGGCTGGGGATGACGTCTTGAAACAGAGGTCCATTTACATTAAAAATATGCATACTGTGGTAGACCAAGGAAAACAAGGCTTTCTATAATATTTTGGAGTTCTACAGCGTGTTTTCCTTTATTTTACAATAAGTGACAGAGAGTAAGCGATAGATTCATAAAAACATATCTGTGTGAGGTTAGCCGGTGCAGAGGGTGATTTTTGGGAGGCAATGTAGCAACATCCCAAAAAGCTGGAAGCTTTCAACACATTATTTTAACGCTGCTGTTTAAAGAATCTCACTTTGCCTTCCTCCAGCGTGCCAAGCCGTGGGGACAGGGATGATGCTGAGCTCCTGGGCCACGTCCTCCATCGAGGAGGTGGCTGAGGCAGCTCCGGGTGGCCTCCGCTGGCTGCAGCTGTACGTGTACAAGGACCGCGAGGTGACGGAGTCGCTGGTGAGGCGGGCGGAGAGAGCCGGATACAAAGGGATCTTCGTCACCGTGGACACCCCGTACCTGGGCCGGCGCCTCGCCGATGTCCGCAACAAATTCCAGCTGCCCCCGCACCTCAGGTACCTCTGCTGCTGGGAGCTTTGTGCTGGGCAGCAGCTCTGCGGGGCTGGGATCTGCTTTAGGCCAAGACTAAACTTTGCTGGCTGTTTGCACGCTGTGCAATGTGAGGATGCGGGCTGCTGAAGTCAGACATGTGGTGTAACGCAGTGGTGCTTTGCACTACTTAATTAGTGGTTTGTCTGGAGTTTTTTCTGGTTTTATTCAGAGCCAGGATTAAAAAACATGGAGATGAATTTTCTCATGTTCGGGCTTGGTTGTTAAATCTTATCTAAAGTACGGAAAGTTCAGCAACACTTGTAGCCATCAGCTAGAAGCGAGCAAAATGGAGATGAACTTAGCTAGCTACAAGGTTTCTTAAAGCTAAACAGTTCAATAATAGTTCAATATAAGTGAATCAACAATTCACTTATATTATTTATACTTTTGATCTAATAACCAAACTCCCGTGACCTTCAGTGCAACCACAAACTACTACCTGAAACCATAAAGAAGAAGGAAGATGAACACTGAAAAGAGACACCACCCCAAATTTTTCATTTTGTCCCATACCTATTACTGTATTATAAAAACTTCAAATTTAAAACCCTTCACCATGTGAAATTGCACACTTCTATTTGGCTACACACCCATGACTTTAACTCCATCACTCAAATTTGGAAGTCTTCTCCAAAGCCTTAGGTCAAAAGCAGTGCTCTCCAGGGGGTCAGTGCCAGAAAGCACAGAAAGCTCAAAAATCCCAGGTTTCTGGGATCCAGCAATATGGGGCATTTCTTTATGGATGTGTCAATGTAAGAACTTGCTGGGTTCCAAAAGGGTCCTGGACTTAGTGGGGCAAAATTCCTTACCAGAAGATCTTAAGGTTCCTTCTGTGTCATCCTATGACACTGCTCTGGGTCCAGGGCCATGTTGCTACCGACTGCAGGGCCCCTTTTTGAGCAACTTCAACTATTCTTTCACTCAGATACAGAAACATGTGGGTATCAGTCTTTCTAAATTCTCCATGAGGGCAATTTTTAACCCAAAGTATGTCTTGGGACATTTGTGGCATCATGATTCATTTCAGCACTAGTTCTAGTTCCTCCCCACAGCAGGGCCAAAGAGGAATTCAATTTTAACAGAGTTAAGCCAGAATTTGAACCTTACAATGGTGTTGTAATGGTGCTGATTTGCCTGGCTTTTTGTAAATATGAATTGATAAGCTGTAGAGACTCACCTGATAAATTTATGCTGAAGTGCTGGCACAGTTCTAGCAGCCAAGGACTGTCTGGAAGAATATTTACTTGATGGGATATCCAGGACTTGAAGCTGAAAATCTTGTGAGGTTCTTGCATTTAGGTCTTGGTAACAACCACAGTCTACCATTGCACATGTTAGAATTATTTGGAGCATGAAAATGAACACAAAAATGGAGAGACAGAGAAAGAGAAAAAAAAGACAGCTTAATGTATTTTGAGGTGAGTTCTGGGTGAAATCTAGTTTTGATTATTATCAATGAAATTGAATTGTTCTTCCTATGTTTCCAAGGATTGTTGTGTTATACTACAAACACATTGTTTGTAACATGTACTTGGCAAGAATGACATGTAGAGGTTTTTCTTCATTTCCACACTATTCAAAAGGAAGAAAAGCCATGGGGCTCTGCAGTGAATCTGATCCTCTGCCTCACTGGCAAAAACCCCTCCAGAGCTTGGGGTGTTGGCTCTCCCCTGTGCACTTGTGCTTGCAGCTAAGAGATGAAAGTTGACAGAGCAACCTGAACTCTGCCCTGATTTCTGTGTTAAAGTACTGTTTTAGGAGAAAAGAACCAGAAAACAAAAAAAGCCCTAACACATCTAACATGAAAATGTACCACACTGGTATGTGTATGGCCTGTATGGTAATTGTGCTAGAGATCTGGTTTTGGCCCACTATCAATATACACTGACCTTTTACTCTAAAAGATAAAATTTAACAATTACTTAAATAGCTGATTTTTTAGGGGCAATAGAATTTTAAGGGGTTGAGGAGTTCTTGAATGCAAGTCCAACAACACAAAGGCATTTGAGGAAAGCAGGAGAACGTTTCTGAAGCACTTTGACCCTACCTGCCCAAATATAACAAGGTTTTGAATGAACCATATGAAATCACATGAAATTGGAGTAATCCTTAAAGGTTCCAATTAATCACTGCAGATTCCTGAGTGTTGCTTGGGCAGTGCTTTTGTTGCAGAGGCCACAGTGAAACTCTCCTAGAGCAGGGCTCTGCTCATTTATGTGATAACTTTTTCTTGGCTTCGGGTTTTCAACAAAGTTTCAAAGCAACAACAAGGTGCCATTGTGCTCTGAAATGTATGTAAGGCAACATTCATCCAAGTGTTGATCTGCATTTTCCAGGCCAAGAAAAACAACAGTTATTTATATAATCTTATCCATGGTTCTGTTTTTCTCTGGGCACCCCACCCTCCACAAACCAACAGCTGAAAAGCTGGATCTTGCTGAGAGCCCGCTCCTTTCTCGTTTGCTTCTGGGCCTGGAGCTGAACAGAAAAGCCATGTGAAATGCTGCTTGTTGCAGGCATGAAATCAGCAGTGAAACCAGCCAGGTTCCATGCAAAAACACTCATGCACTCCCCAAAATGTGAAATGTGAGTATTAAATGACCCCATGTAGAACAGGACACAGTTTCAGAAGAGTAGGGCAATTGGGACATGGATGTGCTAGAACCTGTGAGATTTTGCTGCTGAAAAACCCAAATAACAGCAATGTTTTCACATGAGCTTCCTTCCCTCCCTACATTTTATAAGGAGATGTACAAAAGGGACACAAGGCAAACAGGCTGGCTGTTGGCCTTATTGAACAGATGAAAACTCTGAATTCTTTGCAAGGCTTTATGCACATCCATCTATTTCATTGAGTTTAAAAAAAACTTCATTTCCTCCTTTTCCCTTCTACCTCCCTATTCCTCTCATAGCTGAATTCTCTGCATTTGAAAAACAAAACCCAGCCTTATTTCTTTTGCTATAGAGGTCAGACTATTACCTTGGGCCAGAGAAACTTGCCCCAGAGTTATCACAAAACCATCACAGAAAGATACAAAGGCTTGGGTTGGAGGGGCCATTAAAGATCCAGTAATATGTTGATTATCAAATGGTTGTGAGCCCAAGGTTTTGGCTCACTGAGGAATGGGATCTGCCATGCTGGGATTGGCTGGTTTTGTTCCTGCCCTGCAGGGCAGCAAAGCTTTAACTCACATATATTGAATGCTGGCATTTGGCACCGATGGTGGCCACAGCAAATCTTCCTCAGACTATTTTTCTCTCTTTTTGTCACTTTAGATTAAACAACTTCTCGAGCAATGACCTGGGATTTTCCTCAGGGAAAGACTTTGGAGAAAACAGCGGGCTGGCTGTGTACGTTGCTGAGGCCATCGATGCCACCATCAACTGGGAGGACATCAAGTGGCTGCGGGGACTGACCTCGCTGCCCATCGTGCTGAAAGGGATCCTCAGGGGTGTGTAGCTCTGCTGCTTCCCAGGGGAAGGCAAGGGAAGAGCTGTCACTTCCTCCTGCACTGTTAGAAAGCCACCAGGGAAGGTGCTTGTGGAAGCAGCTGCTTTTAAATAAGTGCCTGGTGTTGTCACCAACACCACCATTAATATGATCTTGCCAAGAATTTTGCAGTGGACAAAATCATTTGGCAAAAGAATCTCTAACTGATGAGTTCTGGAAGATAATGGGGAAAATAAAGGCTAAGCAACCAAAGTGGCTGCTGATCCAAAGGGATAAAAGTTTTGCTCCAACATTTCAAACTACTTTTCTGGTCTTAGTACTTAAAGATAAAAGATTTTTCTGTATTGAGGCAAGGCTTTGGAAGGCTGAAGCCCTAAGGTGGCTTTGCATGAGCTGGCAATGGTTTTCTCAGTGATTCCCTCATTGTGGTGTTGGGCTTTATTCCTAGCTGATGATGCCAAGGAAGCTATAAAGATTGGGATAAATGGGATCCTGGTGTCAAATCACGGAGCACGACAGCTTGATGGGGTCCCTGCTACTGTGAGTATTGATGCTAATATGCTCTAGTAATCTCTCATTTTCTCTGCCTTTTAGCTTCTTGTTTGCTTTCTCTGAACATGTGGAAGCTGGAGGAAAAACCTGGAATAAGTGTTCTGTGCCTTAGGCCATGAGTAATAACCTCTCTCCACTTCTCTATGTATGTCACATTGTACTCTGGGTTAGACACAGCCTTTCCTTGGTAGATCAAATTGGAAAATCAGAATTTTTTTTTTCCACTCTCCTCTTTCATTTCTTCTTCCTCATTCTTTTTTTTTGAAAAACCTTTGTTGCCATTTGCAGCACACTGAAGGTTGTATTAGGGTTGTTTTTCCCTTTTTAATATTCTTTGGAGGCTTCTAAAAAATTACAGTTAAGGAACAGCTAAAGGCAGAATGAAACTCTCCATTTTTCTCCTTTCAAGTATTTTCACCTTTGGAAAAGGGAGTGAGTGATTAAATTACAGTTTTTCCTTTTTCCTTTTCCTTGTCGTGCTACCCCATGACTTTTCCAAAGGTGAAAGGCATTTGAGAATTTCTCAGTCGGCAAAAGAGAAAGAAGTAAAGGAAAATGAAAAAGTATGTGCTCAGGATGAAGGAAAAAACCCAAAATTCCAGTCATCACTCATCTTGCTTCATTTGGTGTGGGAAAGCTGCACAAATAAAAAGAGAATGAAAGGGAGGAGAATCAAAGCCCAGTTGTGCCTCTCTGAGTATTTCCAATATGTTCTCGATGAAAAACCTCCTGTTTTCCATGATGGTCCCCTGAAGGGAGAGGGGAACAGGTCCTCTTGTCACCTCCTGGGAATGTATTCCCCAATTTCATTGAGAGTATTTAAAACTCTTGGGCAGGCCAGTGTGTGAGGTAATCCAACAGCAACAACGTACAAAGTTGTTAAAAACATCATTTTGAGGAACGTGGAAGAGCTCAAGAAATAAAAATTAATTTTTGACAGCTGCAGCAGAAGAGAAATTTGCGAACTCCTTGTTAGGGGTTACTCCTTTGCCACACCACAGGGCAGAGGAGAACTGCTAAAGCTGATGTGTTCCCTGGATTTATGGTACAAAGAACAACACTTCACAATGCTGGTTTTATAATGTATCTGTATCAGATCATGTTAAATGGTTCTGATTTAGAAACATAATAATTTGCTTCAGTTTTGTGGGGTTTCAGATCGTGAGTTGAACCCAAGCTGGTCAATATTTCTAGTGTCTAGTTACACATTGAGGAAATCTATGTTTTAATTATGGTTTGCATCATGCTTTAGTTATTAGAGCACTTTAATGTTGGTACAGTTTGTCAGGATGTAGAAAGTGGTCTCTGGATATGGAAATAGATCCAAAATATGTCTGGCAAGAGAGCAAAACCAAAGGGAGGGGGAAAATCACAGCAAGTGCCAAACTTCAAGAAAATTTTAATCCAAATCTAAAAACAAACTGTACTTTCAAGTTTTTTTCCCCCCATCTTCTAGTCATTTTTATCCATTAAAAAGGAAATTAATTACATCCGTATTGGAAAGATGTGAATTTGTGTGTCTTTTGTCTTACTTCCACACACTGCTTCCAGTCTCCTTAATACTTGGCTTCTGGTGGTGCTCCTTTCCTGATTTTCATGAATAGGAACTATTTAGGTGGCCTAATAGGAAAAGTTGCCTTGTAATTAATGCTCCAGGCTTGAATTCAGAAGGCTCATCCTTTCATTGGGACCTCTTGCATGGCAAGAAGAATTACTTAATTCCTTGGTTACTTACTTGGAACTTGAGAACAGCAAAAATACTTCTCCCCTTCACTTGTATCACTGGTGTAGGGGATAAGCTGAGAAAGTGGATGAACAGAGCTCAGTGAAAGCAACATACATGTGCATTGAAAGAAATTATTCTCCACCTTGCTCAAAACTTAGAGGAAAGTTAATTTTTTCTTATGTTAAGAAGTTTTTTCTCTATAGTCATTCCCGTAATTAGATGCATTTTCAAAAGGGAAAATGCATTATTTAAAATTTTTCAGCCAGCTCTTAAGTTCCTCCAGGCTTGTGTTTCTCTCCCTCCTTGTCTATAGGTACAGTTCCTGCCTCTGGGCTCCTGAGCTGGTCCTCAGGATAAACTAATGGGAAATTTAAACAGGGAAGCAAAGATGATTATTTAAAAAGTGAGCTGATTCAATTTCATCCCCAAACTAGTGAAGACTGGAAGTTTGGGAGGTAACACCACCAAAAGGCTTCCTCAGTGCTGCTGTTTCATATATTCTGCTTAAGAATCAGATACTGGCTTGTGTCAGGTATGTGTCATGGGGTCAGATGGCCATTTTGGGAGACCCTGCTGATTCTCATTCTGTTTATGTGACTCTCCAAATACATTTGACCTTTGCATGTACCTTCTACCCTGCAAAGTCACTGCTGGTTCTCAATACAAAGCTGTGTTATTTGGGTATAGATTTAGGCATGCAACTGCTCATTAAGCTGCTGTAAAGCTTGGATCCTATGTGTAGGAATTGGCTCCAAAAATAAATAGGGTTTCAGGAGCAGTCAAGCTGTGTTCCTGGTTTCTCTCTTTCAGATTGATGTCTTGCCTGAAATCGTGGAGGCTGTGCAGGGGAAGGTGGAGGTGTTCCTGGATGGTGGTGTAAGAAAAGGCACCGACGTTCTCAAGGCATTGGCTCTTGGTGCCAAAGCTGTTTTCATTGGGAGACCTGTCCTCTGGGGATTGGCTTATCAAGTAAGTGAGGAAAAGCTGAAATGCACGACTTTAGATCCCTACACTGACTCTTCAGCCTTACTGCATGCACATGTGTGTGCCTGTGTGCACAGAGGAGCATGTGTGTGATCTGTTTGTGTGCATCCAGATCATCTGATTTGCTGTTTGCTAAAATTTCCTATGACCAGCCCTCAGGAATTTATGTTTGTGCATGAAACTTTTCTTGGCACAGGTATACATGTCTATACCTACACACATATATGTAACAGTTCACATTGTCTCCTAATCTCCCAGGGTGAAGAGGGAGCAAAAGAAGTTCTGCAGATGCTGAAGGAAGAGTTTCGCCTGGCAATGGCACTGACAGGTGGGACAGCAACATTTCCTCTCCCTAATCACATTTTCTCTGAGCTTTCATTTGCCCCAGGCAAGATGCTATAGCAACTTGCACGAGGGGAATGTTTGCAATCTAAACAGGTTAGTCTGTGGAGAAATTGGAAAAAGACTTGTTATCCCAGCCTTATAAATGGGGAACTGAATAGATTAGGTGAAAACATTATCTTTGTGGGTTTTTTTTTTTCACAAGGAGAGAAATAAATCCACAGAAAACTAGTGGCAAATCTTTGGTCGCTAAGGGGTGGATTTCATCTGACAGAATGTAGATTTTTATGAGGCAGAGAAAGAAAAGGCTTAGAGTGGGTTGGAAAATCAGGGGCTTGAACTGATCTGCAACTTCTCCTCCAGGATGCCGGAGAGTAGAAGAAATTGGCAGGACACTGATCCGAAGACATCAAGCATTGTTTTCCAAGATTTAGGTCTGAAGACTCTTGCCTTGTGTGTTGCCTGTTGTGCTTCCAGACAAAATCCGACTGCATTCCCTCTGTGGGCCTCCTCCTGCAATCCTGACTGAGGGAACACTCTGCTTTGTAGGAGATCACTTGTTGAAGAAAGGACTCAAAGCAAATTTTACAGGTGTTTCCAAATCTCTCAGGCTCTTAAGGAAAGCTGCTACACTGGGAGGTGTGATTAGAGATAGGCCTTTATCCAAGACCAGCATAGAAACTTCAATGTGTATGTGCAAATGCTGATAATTAATTTCTATGCCTGGGAGTAATTTAGCTGTTAAAGTGAAACTATAAACAGAAATGTTTTGATAGCAAACAGAAATGCTGAAATTTAAAATGCAAAAGATGCTTCTTGCTCACTGTTTAGAGAAACTAGACTGCAGATTGTAGAGATTAAATCTTGCTTTCTTATGAACAGAATGTCCTTTCCCTAGTGACTTTATAAGCATCTGGGCTTGTGGCACGTAGGCTGTAGGAGCCCAGAGGACTCTTGCTTGGAAGGAAGAAAAGAGCAAAGCAAAAGTGGGGAAATGGAGCTGTGTAAGTGGCACAAGCCCCCCTGCAGTCAGACAGCTGTTATGTACGTGCACTGCATGTACGTCAGATCCTTGGCTCAAGCATCAACATCCCTGTAACCCAAACTGTGCCAGCTGCATCCACCTGGAGCTCCAAGTCACATTTGTCACCTGGATTGATTAGCTACCAGTGGCAAGGGAAGGCTGACGCTACCTGGGAGAGTTTGTAGAATTTGCAGCCATGTGCAAAGGGAAACTCGAATAACTGAGGTATTAACCCATGACTTGGGAAGAGCCTAGTGGCTCTGTTGAGTTTCCATGCACACCCTTTAGTCAGATAAATCTTGGTGTTCTTCACTCTGCTTGTGATGAGGATGCAGAGACACTCAGGATGTGCCTCTGTTCTCTAAACAATCCAAATATCCACTGAATTCAGGAGAAATTTTGCAACTGCAAAAAACAAAAGAGGTAAGAATATACTGTTCTCATCTTGGGTAAAACCAAAGGTAGCTCTTCACCTGTCTCACCTCCCTTGCAGGTGTGGCAGTTTTACAGGGAACAGGGAGAGGACACATAGGTTTTGAATATCTTGCTGTGAAAATGTAATGTTCATTTTTAAAGAAGACTAAAAAAGAGAAAACCCCCTTAATTTCATGGCTTCACTGACATCACCATCTCCACCATTTGTTTCCCATCAGCCTCGTGCATTCTGACTCTCCCACTTTGCTTGGTTTGAAATATCCCTTACTGAGCTTTAGAGGCAGCTTTGTAATGAAATGATGGAATATTATAATGTGAACTAAAGCTGGGGCTGGAACTTGAAATGGGGAGAAAACCCAAAAGGCCACATGCTTGCCCTCCAGTTGTAAAATTTGTACTCTTATTTACTGCAGAATGTGGTCTGTTGTGTGAGAGTTGCGTAGCAACAAAATAAAGTTTATCTGTGCAAGGAAATATGAATGTTTCTCAGAGCACAGAGAAGCATAATTTCTGCTGTTTACTGCACTTATCATATCTGTTGCAATGTGGACTGTGTCAGATGTCAATTACAGACTAACTTCGGCAAGACTGTTTATTTGAGATAATATAAATGTTACTTAAAAGACAGCGGCATAATATCTTATGTTTACATGTTTAAGATCTATTTCTAAAGCTCAGAAGATGCAGTTTCCTGTCTTTGCCCCAACCAGATTGGAGGAAAGTTCTGAAACTCTGTGGTTCAGTAGAAGTTGTGATGCTGAGGAAACCGGTTTCGTTACTTGTGCGTAATTCACTGTTTTTAGTTCCTCTGGGATCAGGGGTTTACATTGTTTTTTCCTGCCTGTTATCTGAGAATCGTCTGACTGCCTTCCAGTTCAACCCTAGTAAGACTAGACAAGCATTAAAAACCAAAATTAGAGCCAAATACTTAAAGGCTGTGAGATTGTTAACAGAAAGTAAATTCATTTGTCTGGTGGAATTCTCTTTTTAAAATACGCCATGGTGAATAGAATTTCTTTTCATTTTGAGACAGCCAAACACAACTACTTTTTGAAATTATTTAATTTAATAAAAAGGTAAGCATTCTGTTTGAGTTGGATTAAAAAGCAGAATGACTGAGTGCCCTCTACCATTTTAAAAGCTGAACAATGTCCAAGCTAAGAAAAAAAATCTATCTCCACACTTGCTTCATCTGGAGAAGCTGAGAAAAAACCAGAGCACACAGCTGATAGTACATCTTTCTATGGTTTTGAGAGTGTTTCTGAGGAGAGAACATAAGTAATGTAAAAAAAATATGTGAAATACGTTAAGGATAAAATTATTTGTCTTAAGTAACGAGTGAACCCAACAAACTTTTAGGAACAATTGGTCATAGTCCTTAGATGAAGGCACAGAAGTGGAGGGGAGCAGAAGTGTTTTGCATTTATGATGCTTTAGTGTCATTTAGTGCTACCCAAATGTCAAATAGCAAACATGATGGGTTTAATAGCAAAATTATTTTCTGGCTTTACTTTGGCTCCATATTAAGTCACAAATACAAAGAAAAAATGTCTATGTAGAAAAAGAAATAATAAGGAGAGACCAGTGAGTGATATTTCTGTACCCAGAAAGACAGCACTCAGCTGGTGTGCTGGGTACTGAAAAAATTCCCAGCTGGTTTGGGAGGCTGGTGAATGCTCAGTAACTGAATGGGGTTCTCTAACCACCTCCCAGGATGGACCAGGAACATTCCCTGGAAAAGGAGATTGCAGCTCTTAATGAGAAAATATTTATCACATGCTGTGTGAAGAGACCAAAAGCAAAATCTGATGGTATGAAAGAAGAGGATGATCCAGTGCTTTTTAGGAGAAAGTGGTACTTCCCAAGAGGTTCAGATGTGAGGCAGGCTCTTACATACTGATGTTTCATGTTCAGTCTGTGTGTGGATTTCTCTGCTGCTGGCAGTTCAGAAGTTTCCCTTTTTGGAAGCATCACCACAAAGTTGTCTCCTTAGCCCCAGTGAGCTCCTGGAGGATTAAACCCACAGAAGAACATACAGAATACAGGATATGTAGAAAGCACTCAGGAGGTTTGGAGAGGCTTCAGCCCTGGTTTGGGATCTCAGCAATTGAGATCAAGACATGCATTTTTAGCACTATGTTCTAAAGAAATCAATCTGTTTCTAAGTGGCAAGGTCAGTGAAAGAGCCTGTGGTGTTTTCTGGACAGCTGATAGATGGACATGCAGGGAGCAGGGTTCTCCTAAGAAAAAGACCAACACCCTTCTGGACAAGCCCACCTGGAGCAGGCTTGGCTGCGCTGGGAACATCTTTGCCATGAGAATCCAGCAGTTTAATTCAGCAGAGGAGAGCACAGAGGTGCAGGACTGCAGGTGTGGCTCAGCAGATGGCAGGAGTCAGCCGAGGGTTGGGAGAACATCTGACCTTTCAGATCAAACGTGGAGGAGGAGGAGGTTACTGCAGCTTCAGGACAGATTTTCCTCTCTCTCTCTCACTTGCCTGTCAGTCCTTTGAAGCAGAGACCTGCTGCTTTTCGAATGCTTGGAGCGTGCAGGCAGGGTGGAGAATCCAGTAAGTAAATAATAGGAGTCATAATTCAGTGCACTGAAGCTGAGGAGCTGTGAAAGACATGATCTGTTTTCTTGTGACCTCCACCTCTCGCTGTGACTCCAGGACAAGTTATTGTGTTTTATTTTCACCAGTGGCCAAGTCAAACAAATAGCTCTGGAACGGGTAAGAACTCCACCCCCATTCCCAATTTTTCAGGTTGAGCATGAAACTTGTCTGTCTTACTGGGAATTTCTGAACATAAATAAACAGACACTTAGAGTAACTCGCCTTGATAAATGGGCAGTGTAGGTTGGGGCCTGCTGGATATGCAGGCGACTCAAAGATGAAGCAGAGCTGGGGAAGTAGGCAGGAATGGCTCTGCTTTTCTTGGCTTCTCAAATGGTTTTCAGGCTGAAATCAAATACTTGAGTGCATGAGGAAAGCTGGCTTCTGAAGTCATGATTTTGCACTGAACCTCAGTGTAAGGATATCTCTTATAAAGCTACTTTTGATGTGGAAATTTGGCTCCAAACCACACTGAAGGCCATTATAAATAACCACTTCATCACAGGACACACAGAAGTTGGCTTCCTTGAACACTCCTAGAAAGCAAGCCTAACCTTATTGAGCCATAACCTCAGCTAGTGTAAATCAGAGAAGCTCCATTGACTTCATTAGTTTATACTGATTTGCACCAGCTGTGACTGTGACCCACAATACAGCAAGATATGTCAGCTTTTAAATTCTGTCACTGGGTGTTGAACAAAACTGTTTTTAAAACAAGATTGGCAATCCCAGATTTAGATCCTAATGAGATGCAGCACTGTAATTGCTTCACGATGCTTATACGCTCCATTTTGTTTTCATTTTTGCGTTGCTTCTGTTTTTCTTATCTCCTGCCAAACAGAGGAAGAGTACCACATATGTTACATTCATAACAAATGAGAGAACATGTCCTCCAGATGCAAAATGCTTTTGTGTTGTAGCTCAGCTTCTTCCTTTGCATAGGTACCTTGGTTATGTGCCAACATAAGAACCTTGAGGTCAGCCCTGCATTTCCCCAGGGCCTGGAGCTCTGGAAAGGGGCACCCAGAGGCTGTCCCAGGAGAACTTCAGAGATCTGATTCCTCCTTAGGGGTTTCCAGCTCCTAAGTGATCATTCCAGGTGGGCAGGATGGATTGTGTCTGAGAGAACCCTGATAGGACTGCCCTGAGACAACCAGTACATCTCCTCTGTCACAATCCTGCAGGGTGCTCAGGTAATTATCCACACTGAGTAATCAGTTGGCACCTCTGTGGTGTGGAAGGCTGGGAGGTGCATACAGATGGATTATTCAGCCAAAGGGAAGACATTCACATAACCAGACTGACAGTGATTAATAGTGGTTATTATTTTATGACAGCAGCAGCTGTAAGTTCCACTCAAGGTCAAGGCAGCGCTGTGCACTGCAGAGATGCTTTTCTGCAGGCAGCAGTCTCTGCTCAGCAGAGTCAGAAGGTAAACTGACAGGCAGAGGAAGAGAAAGTCTCTCTCTGAAATGGGAGCAGAAACAAACTGATTCCCCCAGCTAAGTCCCTTAACTTTCACTTCCACCACCTTAATTTGCTGTTCTCCCTAAGGCAGGTAACTCTGGGGTGGACAACACACAGCACAAATACTCAACAACAGGTGAACTGAGCAGAGAGTTTTAGGAGAACTGAGGGTAGTGGATTTTAAACACTTCAGTGTCATTAAAAGGGTTCCTGCAAAGAAGGGATTCACAATTAGGTTTATTTCATGTGGGGTAAGTCTCATTTTTTCACCAGTCACCAAGACTTCAAAGGTAACAATAAGGTAACATGGCATAAACTCAGCTGTTACACAAATTCAAGATGGGTATTGTGCACATCTCTACTCTGTGCTCAGCAAATTAGTTCAGCATGCTCTGTTATTGGACCCAGAAACCTAGCAGGGTGTGAGATAAACAATCTTCCTAACAGGTGAGACCTGAACGCTGGTCAGAGATGGGAATTCAAACAGCAGGATCATCTCCCATATCTAAGCTTCCTTCCTCTGGGTCTGTACACATATTCCATCAAAGAGAGAGGCTGAAGAGTGTGGGTGGGGGTCTCTGTTATAATTTTAATACAAATTGTCACTGACTGAGGAGTTACATGTCTGCAGCCTTCCCATTAGGCAGTTAAGAGCAGCAAAAATTACTGAATTTGTTATCAATTCTTTTTGACAAGCTTGTGTCTCTACCCAAGAACTTGGAAAAACTAAAGAAGTGCCCTTCATACAAGAAACTCCACTGGCAAGCTCTTTGAAAGAGTTACAAACAGAGAACTGTATATTAGGAAAAGGGAACTTGTGCTTTCCTGAGACTGTGACCGACAGAATATTTCTGCAATTAAAGACTGAGAGTTGGCACTAATCCACCTCATTTCCTTTATGCCTGCTGGTGAGTTTGTTCTACAGCTCCTAATCCATGACTGTAGGACTGGGGGGCAGCAGCATCCATCTCTTGGCTGTGGCTTTTATTGCATCTCACTGCATCCCACGTGTTTACTGCCACACCAGCCTTTGCTGTGACGTCCTTGGGTTGGATCACACAGGGAAACTGGGACGAGAAACATGGGGGTGACTTCTGGGCAGAGTCTGTCCTTTGGAAATAATTGGACACGAGGTGTGGACAGGTATGGGTGATGCTGGAGGGCTTTTGGTGAGAAGGTAAGAGCTCATTTTCATTTTTCAAGAGTCCCCTACTCAGGATTAAAGTTGAAGGTTTGCCAGATGGGACAAGGGACCTGTGTAGGTGGGATTTTGGTGGCCTGTGTTGCTTCAGTAGCACTTTGTATCAGCAGAGAAAGCACTGAGTCTTGTGGCAGAGGAACCCAGTCCCTGGTTCCCATACATCATCTACAGCCATGGTAAGGAATCTAAAGAGGATTTGAAGGCAGAGACCTTCAAATGAGCCTA